CGGGATGGGTGTGTCAGAGGCAGTGCAGTTGGCGCAGGACAGAGCAGGATTTAGGGCTGTCGTGCATAGGGTCGCTATGTCGAAAACGACTCGACAGCACATAACAACAACAACAATTTTAATACACTGTAATGTTTTGGTTCCCTTTTTAAGTTACTCTGTTGTTGTTAGCCACCACCAAATCACCCCTAACTTGGTGACCACATGCACAGTAGAACACAACACTACCAGGTCCTGCAACATCCTCATGATTGGCTGTAGATCAGGCTTCTTATCCACAGGCTCTTTCACTGGTTTTTGCAAGTAAACCACCAGGCCACCTAGTTGAGTTTAGTCTGGAAGCTACACTGAGTTCTAGTCAGCATCATAACAACTTGTTCTGCTGGACAAATGTTGATTCTACACAAAAATCCGTTATCGAAAAGAATTAGACACCGTCATTATCCCATATTCCACCTTATAAGAAGTCAAATACAGTGCCTTTTTTTCAGAAGAAAAAATTTAGTGTGAAAAAGTTGACCCTTTAGAGTGAAAAAGTTCATGATATCTTCAATCCAAGATAAGCCCTCAGGAGAGGAAAAGGTCAGTCTTAACAAGTTAGCATAAGCTCCTTAGTAACACCCAGAATCTCACCTAAACAAAACTAAAGCTTTTTTATTTAGCCATTACAGTTAGCCTCCTCTGGTCTCCAGCTACCTTAACAACAGACACATGGTCTTGCAAATCTGCATTTTCTTGCAAATCACCAACAGCTGTGGGACTAGGCTGAAAGAAAGGTTGCTTCCCACACAGGACAACAAGACCTGAGGCAACCAAGACTTGAGGGAGCCTGGAGCAGACCCTACTGGAGAGACTCCCGTGATGGTGTTGGAGAGACTGCGGCATTGCTGTGAATAAACTGTGGCAAGGTGTACGCAGAGAAGTCCTGAGATAAAGGCCACTGTTAAAGGTGTTTCTTGTTCTTGCTGGATGCTTGAAGAAGCTGTCTTATAACATGATGGATGTTTATTTGCTTGGAGGCAAACCTTGCTGGGTGATTTGGATTTGACTGTTGAACTAAATCTAGAGCCTAGACTAATTGAGGAATTGTGCCTTGGAACTTGGGCTAAAACCTTGACTTATTTTGGGTGATATTCTTAGCCTACCCAACTCTCCAACTTCCTTCCTTAATAATCCCCATCATTAGTACCATAACTGTAAGTCAGTGATGTTCAAATAAATGAACCTCATGGGGCTGGGTTACAGGCTCTTTATTTGCTTTTTTGCTCTGGGGAAGTGCGGGGCTGTGTTATTCTTACTCTCTCTGGCCCTTTCAGAGAGATGCTCATGACTCTGTGCGACTATATCCTGTTTTCTTCTTTTTAGACAAAGATAAAACTACTCAATAAAAGAAACCTACAATTTACCTGGATTTGCGGTTCAAATCCACTAGATGCTATGAGGGAAAGGAAGAGCAATCTCCTCTTGTTTGATTTACTGCCTCTGAACGCCCACTGGAGGGTCAGCTATGGACAGGTTCTGACTCAATAACACACAACAACTGCTTTACTTTAGCGAATGACAGGGCCAACGTACCTAAGTCCACCAGGATGGCATGCTGCTGAGCTGTGAGCTGCTTCAAGAGTTCTTTATAAGATACGTCAGGAGGCTGCTGTTTATTAGGCAATCGGTGTCTCAGACGATACTGTAAAGCTAAGAACTGCCAAATTTCTCCTCGTCGACTTTTGGGAACTCCTACAATTGAAAAGAGTAAACAAAGCAAGGTCATGACTTCTGGAATTACATATTTAGGTCAGGTGGCGAACTCCGTGATGCTCCCTCACAGGCACTGACACCATAATGTATGCTCGCCAAAGACACACCATTCAGTGTGTTCACAGGAACCAATTTAATTCAACAGTTCTTAACAACAGCCTAGAAAACTTCTGCAATATTAAGTGTGCTAATGATGGCAGTATTTACCACCAGCTAGCATTATTAAATACCACTATGGGTCAAGTCAATCCATCTCATGGATGGATGGACACAGTAACTAGGGCAAGGGGACAGTGAGACTGGCTCAGAACTGGGCAGGGTTCAGAGCTGTAGTACAGTGGGTTACTGTAAGTCGCAGGTGACTGATGGCAAGTAACAACAACAGAGGTCAAGTTGCGTACCACCAAAAGTCATGCTGAATTATCAGCCCTTGTACCTGTGCATAGGATTCTGTTAGAAATAGAGATTTTTTTTTCCTCATTGTATTAATGAAGTTCTACTTATAAAGTGGGTCCAGAGTGCTGTCTCCTAAAAGGAGATGACTAGAGAGACACATAGAGGGCGAGACAGATGCCATATAAAGACACTACATAAGCTGGGCTACGACAAAGGAAGGACTCTTTTCCAGAGCCAAGGCTGTGACTTGGACTTCTAGTCTCCAAAGCTGTGAAACAATGAATTCCTGCTCTTTGGAGTCACCAATGTCTGGAGTGTTTTTGTTATGGAATCAGTAGGCAAGTAAGATAAACACCTGACAGAATATAATCGAGGGCGCCAAGGTACTAAGTACTGTATCTGAGTATCTTGAGTGGTCCCTATGAGTAGAAGACCACCGTTATTCACAATTGATAGATGGGGAAGTTGAGGCTGAAAGAGGTTTAGAAACTTGTCCATGTTCCCACAGTCAGTGAGTGGCAGTTTAGGGTTAAAACTGAAGTAGTCTGTTTTCAAAGTCTTTTTTTACCTTCGATTTGGATTGAAGCTCATAACAAAGGCTGGTTTTCTTATTAAACTTTTTACATGTGAGTCATCAACAACTTTTGGACAGCAGAATATTCTTACTTATTCATAAAAATGTGAGCTAATAAAAATGATACATGCAAATTGAAGACAAAACCGGCATGCTGTAGACCGCAACTCTGCCTTTGGAAAGAAAATACTCATCCTTATATAAACTTAGCATAGACAACGGAACCTTAATTCCACTATGCTTGAAAATCAAAAGATATTATTATAAGCAGATCAAAATTCATTAAAATTGGGATTTTTATTGCAAGGGGCATGAATTAAGCACAGAGAGAGACAGGATTCAGTGTTATACAGTAGAAACAGTCCTAAATCCTTAACTAAATATGGTCAGTCCAGGTAGGTTAGTCCAGGTCAGTCCAGGTAGATCTACTATAGGTTCCTGAACTCCTGCTGGATAAAGCAAGCGAAATTTTATAGACTTTGAGCTGTGCTGTTGGAGAAGAGTACTGAATATGCCAGGTATTGACAAAAGAACAAATATGTCAGTGAGCTCTGGTGGCCTAGTGGCAAGAAGCTGCACTGTAATCCCAGAGGGACATGGTTCAAATCCACCAGATGCTCTGTTGGAGAAGGAGGAACAGTCTCCTCCTGTACTAGTCAGATCTGATTTGATGGTACACACAAAAAATAATAAAATAAAAAATAACAAATATGTCTTGGGAAAAGTGCAGCCAAAGTGCTCCTTAGAGGCAAGAATGGAGGAACTTCATCTCACATGTTGTTGTTGTCATTGTTAGGTGCCACTGAGTCCAGTAGGAGTCACAGCAACCCTATGTACTAAAGATATGAACCCTGTGCCATCCTCATCCTTCCGGACATACAAGGGCCCATTGTGATAATTACCATGTCAATCCACCCGGTTGAGGGTCTTCCTCTCCTTCTCCAACCCTCCACCCGTCCCAGCATCATGTCCCTCTCCAATGAATAGCCCCTCCTAGCAACATGCCCGAAGTATATGAGGCAAAGTCTGATCATTCTTGCCTCTAAAAAGCATTCTGGCTGCACCCTCTCCAAGACGTATCTGTTTGTTCTCTTGGCCATCCATGGACTGTTCAGTCCTCTTCTACAACACCACAGGTCAAAGGCATCAATTCTTCTTCTGTCATCCTTATTCATCATCTCTCATACGTTGGGTATAGTGCTAGGAGAGGCTAGTCCTTGGAAAGTGATATCCTGCTTGGAAAGGTGGAGGGTCAGTGAAAGAGAGGAAGACTCTCAACGAGATGGCTTGACATAGAGACTGGAGCAATGGGCTCCGATGTGTCAAAGATGATGAGGATGGCACAGGATAGGACAGGCTTCAGACCTGTTGCTCACATACTCCACTCATGACATCTAACAAAAACAACATCAGCATACACAGAAATATACACATACATAAATCTGACAAAAGGATAGAAATGGAAATGTTCCTTGGGCTCATTTTTATGTTAAGGATTAGAGATTTATACCAATACATGCTCTTGTTAAAAACTACATGTAGCTAAAAGCAGCTTTTTGCAGCAGGGACTAGACCCTGGAGAAAAGATATCAACTACTTTTGTGGAGCCGTATGTCTATTAAAAGCATTTTCTTCCTAATCACGTCTGTGCAGCAGACAACAAGCCACTCCTCTCTGGCACACTGGGGTAGCATAAGACAAAACTATGTTTGAGCTGCACAGATGGAAAACATTAAGGCTTTTCTCAAAACTAACCAGAGTGCTAACATTATACAGAATACCTTCTCTAAGGGAGGTATGAATGTCTTCCATATCACATCTGATCTTAGACCTGCAGTTTAACAACTTCTTATCCCAGGCAACATAGACTTCTTTCTGACATACACCAACTTCTTCATAGTCCAACTTCACTTTTCTCGACTGAAGTTCATCTCTGCTTGCTAAGGGGAAAAGAAGAGATTCGCTTTATCAAGCCGCTGCACTTTTTACACTCTATTTCTCGTCATCACTTTATGTATCTACAAATAGAGGGAGCTATGGTGGTCCAGTCGCATTTGAAGCTGTGTTGCTAACCCAAAGTTGGAGGTTCAAATCCAACAGTGGCCCCGATGCAGAGACGGGGGCAATCTCCTCTTTCACAATTTACAGCCTCTGAAGCCAAATGAGAGGTCAGCCATGGGCTGATTCTGACTTGAGACTCCATGGCATGGACATGTTTTGGTGTTTTGTTTTAGTTTATATTTATAAAACCACACCAAATGGCTAGTTACCAACCACTAAAATTTACTCAGTAATAAAATTTGTTTAAAAACAAAATAGGAGGAAAAGTGAGAAGATCTCAAATTTACATCGTTTCATGTAAGAAGACATCTGAAGATCTTCCTAACCTACACTCTGTACGTGATAGGTGGCACTCTGCTAACCGTAAAAGCCACACTGTGACTTCCTTTGACAAATGGGGCAGACAGCCTCAGAAGTGAGGCTGCAAAATCTTAAACAGATGGCTAGTGAGAAAAAAATACCTTCTGGACTCTGATAATCAAATAGCTTTTTATAGCTATTTCCACAGTTATCAACCACTAGGTTTGTACTCTTACACTCCAATTAATAAATCTTAAAGAGAAAAATTTGTTTCACTGAAGTTATTGGTTTTATATTATTAATGTTGTTGTACTGTAGAGTCAGAACTGACCTACGGCTGACCTGCTGGCGGGTGTTCAGAGGCAGTTAATCACAGGAGAGGAGACTGTCCATCCTTCTCCCAGGGAGCGGCTGGTGGCTTTGAACCACATGCCTTTGGGATTGCAGTGCACATTCTTGCTAACCTCCAGAGCTTTAAAGCCATTAGAGCTCTCTCGCTATTATTATTATTATATTATATAAATACTACAAGAAATACAATAATATATTATTTCTTCTAAGTAATATAGCATTCTCTCATATGATGGACTCAAATACAGTCCCAAGTTTTATTAAAAGAAGCAGTTGTGGCGGTGCAAACAGCCACATGCTTGGCTGCTAACTGAATGACTGAGGTTGGTGTCTACTCAGAAGTACCTCAGAAGAAAGGCCTGATGAAAGAAAGGCCCCAAAACCAGCGACTGGACATTTTATGGCGAGTCAGAATCAACTTGAGGACAATTGGGTTTTTATCCTAATTTGGAATTTATTTTTAAAAACTGATTCCAAAAGGGGAGAAGAAACAATAAACACATGAGCCTATTTTTCTTCTTTCATTAGGATCCAAGACAACAGGGGTCATTCAGAATGATGTGTGTTGTCAAGTGCTGCTTGCGTGACCCCACCTTACCTTCTGCAAAAGAAGTATTTGTCAAGTGTCCCAAAGTCCTCGACAGCATAAAAACAATGGCAGAATTAAATGTTACTTTAAACTAAATAAAATGTAACAAGGAAGTAAAAATTTCTACCTAGAAATTCAGAAAAAAACAAAACTTAAATTGCACTACAGAAATATTCTTCCTGGACACCACGAGGTGGCAGTCTAACACAGTGGAGCTTTCTGTCTCGGGCTTTGCTTCCCATTTCTCTGTATTAAATAAAGAATTTTCTTTTTTTTAAAGAAAAGACTTTTTGTTACTGAAACTAATAATAAAAACAGTCTGCTCTAGCTTATTAATTATTCCCTTCATTGTGGACACAGAGTACAGTATTTTTCTTCAGGTTTTATGTTTCTCTTTCAGTCTGTTGTTCACAGTCAACTAGTCAGCACCTAACAACTTTCTCCAAATCATTATTCATTTAAAAAAAAAATAAATAAATAGCACATGCTACCCATTGTGGCAGTTTTTATTTTATGGTGGGGCTGTGGTAAAACACTAGGGGTGCAAACCAAATGTCAGTCAGCAGTATGAGCCCACCAGCTGCTTCCTCGGCAGAAAACTGGGGGTCTGCCTCCACAGCGATGACAACCTTGGGCCCATTCTACTCTGTCCTCCAGAGCGATGATAAATTGACACTTGATGGTGATGGGTTTTCAGGGTTGGGTACAGTAATAAAGATGGAGTAGATAAAGGTAATGAGAATGCATTCTTACATGAGTCAACACTTGTAGGAAAATATCCCCAATTTTTATATTAACTTGTCTACTTCAGTAACTGGGAGCTAATTCTGTGGTATACTGCAAAAACCTCAATAGTAGTAATAAATAAACCTGAGTTTTAGCATTTGTTCTGCCAATATATCATTGTTTGATCTTCAAGAATTCTTCAGCCTCACCAAGCCAGTCACTAATTCCACTATAGATTGAAAGGTTATCAGGCTTAATAACCTCTAAGGTAATTTCCAGTTCAGTCTACAGTTCTAAAATTATCTTTTGATATTATACATAAGTTTTTAGTTGTGCATTCTCTCTATTGCAAATGAAATATAATTTCATTTTTAAAAAGAAATGATAGCCATCTTTTTTCTCAATCCTCTGTTTACTAGCTAGTGTAACATGTAATCAATTGCTTCAAATTACAATTTCAATTCCTTTCAAAATCAATGAGCACCAGAGTGGTCACACCATACCTCACGCTGAACTCTTGATGTCTATGCCAATACCTATTCATCGTATTTGTCATAACGTGAGAGACAAGCAAGTTTACTTGCTAGGAATACTGAAAATCTTAAGCACTGTCATTAGACGAAGGTAATAGTAACACAAAAACAAATTACACCCTTGAAAATTCATGCATGAGGAATATTAGTAAAATTCAGTACAATGGATGTGATAAGAAGAATCTTAAGACAGATACTGAAATGTCAATAAGACACTAAATGAAAAGCCTGTGAGTCAATTCCAACTCCCAGCAGCCCCAGAGAAGGGAGCAGATCCGGCCCACAGGGTTTCCAAGACAACACTATTATAGAAGCAGACTGCTACTCTTTCTCCCACAGAGCACGCATATCCGAACGCTTTAATCTAGCACCATCAGCAAGCCTCAGAAATGTGAATACTTGGATTTTTTAAAAGTTCTTTCAGTTAAGACCCTTATACCACAGAGCCCTGTTTCCATGACTAACCTTCAAGCTTCTGGTTTTCTTTCTCCATTCGAAGCAACAAGATTTGCTGGTGGATAGCTTTTCTCCATAAACTCCTCAGTCCTTCCGATTTCTTTTTTTCTTCAACCTTTTCTGGGTCATCGTCACCGGACAAGAATATAACCAGTGGGTCCTCCTCCATGGTTGGAGCCAGAGGAGACAGAGGCAGCAGCTCATTCCTGTCGAGCCCATCTGCGGAGAAGAACACTGTGAGAGGCATTCTTTAGTGGGAACCCCGACGACAAAAGTTCTCTCCCGAACTCACATTCTCCACTCCCACAGTGCCCATTTAAAGGTTTCCACAGAGTTAGTTTCTAGAACCAGTGACTTCAGTAACTTCACCTGACTGAATTCCCCTTCCACATTTCCCTTCCAGAGTGAAATGAAAGCTTATGTCATCTCACCACTTCTTCTTTTTGAACCAAGAGACCTATAAGATAGATGCTTCAAAATGAATCGGCCTTTCCCCAGAGCCCAACACTTCTGTATTCTGCTGTTCGTTCTAAAGCTGGGCAGAAAGAAAAGAGTAGGTGCTAAGTTATCACCTAAGGTGAATCCACCATTACATCCAATAAAAGAAAGGCAATGAGGAAGGAAAAAGTCCCTTCCTGGTGTAGAGTCTCACCCCTCTCTCTCTCTGTTCTCTCCTCCTACAATTGTTATCAATTGCCAAGTCGAGCACGACTCATAGCGACTCTATGAACAGAAGACCTGAAGCCTTTCTATAACTATCGTTTCTCAAAGTTCACAGTTTCCAGAGGCATGCGGTTTAGGAAGCCTTTTAACTGATGCTCTGGAGCTCATCAGCTCCCCCATTTCCAGGCTTATATCCACATTTTCCTTTTAACAACCAGGATCAGATCTCCTAAAACTGTCTAATGACTGCATTTATCGCAAAGAACAAAGTTCAAACTATTGGAAGCAGAGTCCAATTCCTTCATACTCTGGCCTCAACTTCCCTTTCCAGCCTCATGTTTCCACTTTCCATTCTGGGCTGGAGTCATGAATTATGATTTTCTAAACTGTGATGTTCTTTCATTGAATCCAGGGTCTTCTTGTTCCTTCTTTCTGAAGCACCCTTTCCTGGACATAAGGATAAATGACTACCTTTTCTGTGAAGTCTTCTTGGGCTACCAGAGTTGGTAGTATCAGTTTGCTATCGACTTCTTTTTTCCTTATTAACTGACTTCTGCTCTTACTCCCATCTACTTCCCTAAATTAGGTTTACTCTCTCTTTGTCTTCTTTTCCAGCTTCTTAAATTGAATACCTGGTATATTGGACTTTTTCTTTCTTGTTTTTAGATTAATACATGCATCACTATGGGTTGCACTTGAAATATCACTCAATCAATATTTCCCTCCTGGTTTGTCCACTTTTCAGTTTCTAAACACATGGGGTTTTTTTCCAGTTTTCTTCTAATTATTAATTTCTTCCTCTCTAAGGAGTGCGATTAGAAAATAGAATGACCACAATTATTTGGTATCTGCTTTTAAAAAAAAAATTGTAGTCAAGTGTGATTTTAAAAACAAAAACAAAACCTCACAGCTGTCCAATAGGAACCAATACAGAGCTGACCCTGTGGTGGGTTTCTGAGGATGTAAGTCTTCCAGAGGAGATGACCTACCTTTCTCCGTCAGTGTTGCTGCTGGTAGACCTGAATCTCCACAGAAGTGTAGCCTTTGGGCTAGCAATTAAATTCTCTGTGGACGACCTCACCAAACCTCTCTAGATCCAGTACAGAATTTGGCAAATTCTCTGCCTGTGCTAGAAATGAATGGACAGTTGTTAGGGGGAAGAAAGTTCTGTGTAGTTGTTAGGTCAGTTGGTTTTTTTGGTTATGTGTGGTTTGAGGTTTTGGTGTTTTTTTAAAAAAATTAGGTCAAATTAATTGTTTTACTCACTATTAGTGAGAGTCACTATTCAATTTTATGAAAGGAACAGGTTGAAATCTGCCACTTAAAGCAACTGATTTATTTCTTCCTCAAATTCTGTTAAGGTTCTTTTCCAGCCTTCACGATGCTGGTCTTCTGTTATGGTAACATTTACTTTGCCTCTTTCTACAGCCCTCTTTAATTTCTAGTCCATTTCATCTTCAAAGGTGTTGACCCCATTCTTTTTGCTTAACTTTCCCTCCTTTATCCTTATTCAGGTCTTTAGAGATGACTGTTTTTATGCCACTTTCTCTTATGTGTGATTCTAGTAAAAGAGAGCCTGATTTTGTTCTAGTGACAAACGCTGTCTGAGACCTTCCCTACCACTGTCCTCACCCCCCCCCCCACACACACACATGCACACACTCACTGTGGCACAGGCCCCAGAAACAAGCTTTGGAAACGTACCATTTCATCCCACCCACACCCACCAAATTGGCCCCTTGTGTTGTAATTGCATCTGAGTCTCTATCCTCTCCTGCCAGATAGCGACCTTCTCTCCACTGTAATCCCTAAGTCCACAGGGAGGTGTGCAAACACCAAGGCCATGCATCTCCAGTGGTTCGAATCCACCACGTGCTTAGCGAGAGAAGATGGACAGCCTCTTCCTGTGCAGTTTAGTTTCTGCAAACCCGCCAAAGGGTCAGGTAGGCGCGGGTTCCGCCCCCATGCCAACGGGTTGCGGGGCTGAGCCCCAGCACAGACCTTGCGGCTGCATGGCGGAGGGCGACTTGTTCATGGGAGAAGCAACCCTGAGGAAGATGCGCTGGCGCCACGAGATCCGGCGAGGAGTCACGGGGGTCCCCCCGGCGCTCAGGGACTCATTGCTGCAGGTCGAGGAGGTCCTTTTTCTCCCCTCTCCATCACTGTGCAAAACAAACAACACACGTGACTTGTAAGGAGACCTGCGAAACGAGGTGGGGGACGATGAGGTGAAGCGCAAGCCATTCACGAGCTCTGCCGCGGGTAAGCGTGTGGGGGCAGCATGGAGCAGAGCATCCGCGGGTGCCCCTCTCCCCAGGCCACCTCGGCCTGGGGACCCAACCCGGGCTGCATCCCAGCCAGGGACACCCCAGCTATTTCTACTCATTCCATAGGAGCCATGTTCCAATCAGGGGGCCCTAAGTATACAAGGGTAAAGACTCTTCTGTAATAAATTTGTGAAATCATTTTCTTCACTCACTCACTGCCATCAAGTCTGGGTCAAGTCCTAACTGACCCTCCATTGGGTTTCCAAGCCTGTAAATTACAGGGGAGGAGATGGCCTACTTCCCCCCCCCCCGAGTCACTGGTAGATTTGAACCCCAGAGAGAAATGACCTTTGAGTTAGCAGCACATTGGCTGAGGATACTACACCCACAGCTCCCTAGTTTATTCTGGCCAATGGGAATACTCCAGAAAAAGCACCTAATGAGCTTTGCTCACAGATCTGTTCACAGGGTTTCTATGAGTCATGCTTGACTCAAGGGCACTTCACAACAGAGCTCTTAAAGAAGAGGCTGATAAAGATGGCTACTGATCACCTGGGTCTGGGACAATCTTTGTCCCAACAAGCAGCTGGACCACTACAGAAACTAACCTGCATAAAGACAGAACAGCTGACCTGGGCATTACTGTTAGGTGATTGATTAAGGGGAAATGTTGTGGTTAAGTAAGACTGGCCAAGTGAAGTTTTTAAGCATGTTATTAAGTGAAGTAATGTTATTAAGTACATCTCTACAAAAGCTGTTCTATGCCACAGGAATTTGTGTTCAGAATTTCCCTATTGTCTAGAATATTGAACTGGCACCAGGATCACCTCCCCAAACAGTGTGAGAAGTAGAGATCCCACATCTTGCTAGCTGAGTGCTTGGTAAAACCCCACCCGAGGAAATGCTGGTTTAAGTGTTTCATTGTACAAGAAAAATTATAAATCATGCTCGGCCTTTCTTCTGCAAGAGAAAGGTCATCTGGTTTCAAAGTCACTTTTAAGGTCAACTAGCCATGTGAACACTTAAAGGAACAGGCAGCACATTTTTCTGTTTGTAGTGAGAATATTGTTTTTAAAAAGCCTCAGCACCCCTGAGTTCACCTAAGAGGATTTTGAGGGTAAGGAGAGGAAGACCCTCAAGCAGGTGGATTGACACAGTGAGTACCGCAATGGGCTCTTGTGTGTCAGGAAGTGTGAGGATGGCGCAGGACAGGACTAGGTTCAGATCTTTAGTTCATATGGTCGCTATGAGTCGTACTCAACTCAACAGTGCCTAACAACAAAAACACCAACAGTGAGTCACTGTGTGGAAAGCAAATGTCATGTTCCATCAGCAAGGAGTATGGACCTTAATATAGTCAAACCTCTTAAAATTTAACCCTAATAATGTGTGGTATCTTTTGTTTCCTTACGAGTAACTGATCAGTTCAAGCCAATGATCAGTGCAGCAGTTGAATGTCTAATTCACTAGGCAACCAGACGTCCAAATGTAGCTCACGCACTATTGGGACATTTGCTTTACTGCTGTAATTTGGAACCAAAATAACTTTCCAAGGTATGTCTGTACTCACTAAAAGTGACAGTATACAATTGTTGTTGCTGTTGTGTACCACAGAGTCAGAACCAACCCATAGCTGACCCTCCAGCGGGTTTTCAGAGGCAGTTTAATCACACAGGCAGAGAGTGCCCATATTTCCCCCATGGGGCATCTAGCTAGTGGACTGGAACTTCGTGCCTTTGGGACTGTAGCATAGTCTCTTACCACTAGGCTACCAAATGTGTACTCACTAAAATGTGAGAAATTTTACTTAATGTCAAGCTAAAGCCCTGTAGAAACTGTGAGAATCAGGTACTCTTTTCATTCTGATTATTACTATTAAAATATAAGCTATAGGGGATGGCTTCTAAGGCAAATAAGGAAGCCTGTTAATCCACCATTAAATAGTTGACAATTTCACAACATTTAAAATTCTCAAATATGTATTCTAAATAAATGACTCCATTTAAAAAAATTTTCAACAAAGTCTGGATTCCATTGGCAAATAAATCAAAATTTAACAGTCAAATTATAACGAAAGAGTTTATAGAAAATAATTACTGCCTGTTTTATGTTTTACAAGAGAGATCTTAATAAAAGGTTTCAGGGAGAAGGCAAAATATGCCCTGCTTTGTGTTATGAGAAAACGCTGATATTAGTGACTAGACAGATTCCAACTCAGAGAAAAGCCGTGTCACAGGGCTTCCTGAGGCTGTAAAGTCGTTACGGAACAGACCCCGCATCTTCACTGCGTACAGCAGCTCCGTCAGCCAGCCATTGCCTTAAAGAAGGAATCATCTCAGAGTTCACGCTCCAGTTAATATTCAGAAGCTGTAAATAGCACAGGAGGAGACTGCCCATGTTCTCTCATATGAACCACTTGCCTTTGGATTGTTAGTCAAACTCCTTATCCATTAGGCTGGATGGAGCACGTGGCAGGTTCAAAATGCCAACTTTATAGTTAGGAGCCCATGATTAACCTCCAGTTCCACCTGCAGGGATCATGTTTCCTTAGTAACAAAAGAGAATGTAGTCAGAATGGAGGTTTCAAATAAAAATCCTAACTGTCATGTAACTGTAAAAGTCAAAATGCTGTATCAGTTTATGCTTATTCACATTTAGTCAGCTGGGATTTAACTTTTTATTATGAGTGAGTAAACAGATAATCAGGTAAAGTAAAGGCTGTTTACAGGGTAAACAGGTTTTCCAGTCAACAATTCACACTTTCAGGACATCTCTATTGTGGAACTACGTTCTCCCCACGTCCTCCTTATAGCCATTGCTTCTGTTTGCTCTCTACTATAATGGTCCTTCTCAGCTTCATCCTTGGGTAAACATGGTCCTCTTGATCTTGTGTGGTTGCTTGTTCTAAGGAGTGTGTTCCTTCCTGATGTTATTAATCACCTTAAAACTGTGTCTATTGTTTAGTTGAAAGAGCCACAGAGGTGATTTCAGTTCTAGGCTGGAAGGGTGACTAAGGGTCACATTCTAGAGAATTCTACAATCTCTGACAAACCAGCAAACCTGACCTTTCTTATGATTCTTTTCATCACATATTCTCCTCTCATTTTATCAGCAACTATCTGATGTGACACCTTTGAGTGGTCTGTAGCAGTAGCCGGGCACCACCTAGTTCTTTTAGCCTTGGGGTTACGGAGGCTGAAGTTCATACAGCCCCTCAGTTTTTTGGAAGAGACCAATATCTGCACCCTCTATGTCTTAACCATAGCTTTAAAAAACCCAGTCACTACCCACCAAAGTAAGAACATTGTCTTTGTTGACAACATTTTCTCGATGGACCTGGTTGGTCTCTAGACTACAATCCTAAGCTATCAGGACCAACAACTCATTCTTGCATGGTGGTTATGGCGAGGTAGTTTTCTTACTATTGCCTCCCACTGGCTCTACTACATGCATGGGTCTATTCACAGCAGGTGCACATCCATATGTACAGATCCCATCTTCCAGCCATGGGAATATTGCATTCAGCAGCACAACTATAATCTACTGCCAGGATGGGCTTTTCAAAAGTGGTGTCCCTCCCCCAGTTCCCTGGAACTCATCTCAGCACTATCAATATCCAAGCAAATGATTACCCATTTTGCCTTAAATCTGTAATCAATCACAATAAACTACAACTGAAGATAAATTATAAGACTTGACACCACCTATTTAACAGAATGGAGAAATGAATACTCCTGGTAAATGTCTTTAGAAGCCTACAGAGAACAAGGTAGTAATTTTTTCCCTCTGTATGAACCACAGAACAGTTTAGCTCACAAATTGCAGCAGGTACACTAATAGTTTCTGTAAGTTCTGAATCCCAACTTAGTACACAGGCCATCCTACAGAAAATCCTTTCTAATGAAATAAATGGAAATTGAAGGATTTTGAAGCTCCATCTGACATAGTTTGGCATGTTTCCAGGAGGGACCAGTCCTTGGAGAGGAACACTATGCTTGGAAGGGTGGAGGGACAGTGCAGGAGGGGATTGGTTCAGTGACTGGGGTAATGAGGTTAGGTGTGTTGTAGACAATGATACTGGCTCAAAGAAAAACAAGGTTCAGAGCTGTCGTACACTGAGTCACTGTAAGTCACAAGTGTCTCACAGCAACAGTGAAAATCAATACCAATGATCTAAGGTATGAGTCAAAAGGAAGATTAGACAGTGAAATAAGGTTTGGGAAAGGAGGAATACCAAGGTTACACACACACACACACACACACACACACTCTACAATAAATGTAGAGTATAAAAAAAATCTAAGTAACTTCTATATATCCTTACAGGTTGTTGTTATTATGTGCCATCGAGTCGCTTGCAACTCATAGTGACCCTATGTACAAGGGCCCTAAATGCTGTTTTACCTGTGTGAATCTAACCATCTCAAACACACTCACTCCCACCACTCCACTCACAGAACTGATCCACCTCATTGAGGGTCTTCCTCTCCTGTGCCGTCCCTCCACTCTCCCAAACATGATGTCCCTCTCCAAGGCCTGGTTTCTCCTTTCAATAGGTTCAAAGCTTCAGAATCCTTGATTCCAAGGAGCATTCTGGCTTCACCCTCTCTAGGACAAACCTGTTTGCTCTCCTAGGAGTCCATGGTATATTCAACACTCTTCTTCAGCACCACAGCTCAAAGGCATCAATTCTCTATCATCCCTATTCCCTGTCCAACTCTCCGATGCATAGCATGTAATTATGAAGTCTATACCCCGGATCAGGCGCACTTTAGTCTCCAGCCTGACTCTTGAGAGGTCCCTCACAGCTGACTTTCCCAATGAAATTCATCTCCTGATTTCCTGGCTGCTGGTACCAAGAGGGTTGACTGTGGAACCAAGTAAACTAAAACTGTTAACCATCTCAATCTCTTCACCTTACAGGTAAGGGTGGTTAAATGCTGTCCCACATATTTTGGGCATGTGGTCAGGAGGGACCAGTCTTTGGAAAAAGACATCCTGCTTGAAAAGGCAATGGGCCAGTCAAAGAGGGGAAGATCCTCAACAAGACGGATCAACACAGCGACTGTACCAACAGGCTCAAGGACATCAGAGGCCATGAGGCTGGCACAGGAAAGGGCTGGGTTCAGATCTGTGCATGGGGTGGCTATGAGCCGTAGTTGACTTGACTGCATCTAACAACAACAATGTACATCAGAATTTAAAATATCTCTAGATGGCTTGTTTTCCTGTTTAGATTCTTACAGCCTCCCAAAACAGAAAATTATACCGAGCAAGACTGAGCCCACTTCAGGGTTCCCCATAGCCATATGTGAAATTAGGAAATTGTGTAGGAGATGATCTCTATGGGGACAAACAGACTTCAGCTGGGTACCTATGTCATCGTTATAATAATCCTGCGGGCGGTGACTGCTAAGGAAGCAGACAGACCTCATTCTGTGCCTGCAGTAAAGTTTGAAAAGGGCAAACTATTAGAAATTTTATTTAAAGAATCTGATATCTAATTAAGAATGAACAAAGTACAGCCCAGTTACAAGTCTCAAGAAAGTCACTTCAAAAATCTTATCCCTGTGGCCAAAACAATTTTCTGAGAACTTTTTTCCCCTCCTGGAATTCCTCATTGTACCTACCTTCCCTATTCTGCTTTCTCTACTGAGTCGTCAGTGGCCTGGCCAGGCAAACAGACATGCATGTTTCTAATTAATCTCATGATATGAGATGAGCAGACACGGAAACAGGATCAAAACAGACAATAAGCACTTTCTACTATGTTCTTTAGCCGTGGCTGTGAATGTTTACCACAAAGAGCAGGCAGGTAAAAAAAAAAAAACAACCAACAAACAAACAAAAAAAAGAGCCATCATCTAACCTGTGGTCAAGGCTTCCATTCTAAGGAACTAGGTGCTTCCCAGTGTCCAGCCCAGTGGTCACAAAGACTTGGCTGTGTCTCAAAGTGACAAATGGGATGGAATGACAATGAATAAAAATTATTTATAACTATCTTGAGGCGAGACTCAGATTAGATTATCTTAATGATTCTTTTAGGGTATTCATTTACTTTTTCTTTTTTAAGGGTAGCTGTGACATTGGTTGTAAAGTGTTTTTAATAAAAAAAATTTATTGTGCCGTTGTTGAGAATGTACACAGCCAAGCATACACCAATTCCACAGCTTCTCCATAAGCCACAACACTGATGAGAGCCTTTCAATTGTGACCTTTTTGAGCTATTCCTTCCCATTAACAGAAGTTCACAAACCCCGTAGCCCACCCCAGGCTTCTAGCAAATCTTTCAAATTTCTGATTTCACTCTGATCCCATAGTGATAGCTTTTAAAAAAGAAAAATGCTCAAGGTCAACATTTTTTACTTGATAAACCATTGCTTGTTTTTAAGAAAACTTTAGGAGATATTTCTAGTTGACTAGTTAAAAGGATTACTTCGGGGAAAATAGGTGCAGAGGATCATCCAATCTTTATGGACCCCAAAGTCAGATGCAGATGAGAATTTAAAATTTGGTTCTACATCCCCTCCCCTTATTATTAGGATTCTCCTGTGGATGTTTGTTTTGTTTTCTCTAATTGTTCCATAATGATAGCTGAGCATTCATTTCAGTATTTTCTTGCTCTTCTAAGTAAACCCCTCTCATCTACCAGAAGGATTGGCCATCCACCTTTGAAATACCAGGCCTTCGAAAACCCTATGAATCAATGACTGTGGCAAGCAATGAGGTCAGGTGTACCAGAGATGGTGGATGGCTCAGCATCATGCAAGGACCTCAGCCTCTGTTTGCTGTGAGTTGTCGAGTTGATGTAACCACAACTATCTCCAAACTAGCAACAATTTACTTCTATTAATTCAAACTAAGCTTTAATTTGCAGTTATTAAGCCGTTATAAGGAAACGGCAGCATGGAATAGAGTAGAAACAGCCTTGCTATTTCAACGGTCAATCCTGATCTTTACACCAAGCTACTCCTTGTGTGGTACACAGCCCTCACAGCAACGGCAATGATGGCATGCACCCAGGAGAAAACCAAAATGCTTTCTGACTACTGATAAAATCCAGAGGGGATAAAATTTATGGAGTGCTTAAAGGAAAATAAAGAGGTCTCTAATCACCTTGATTCTGAAGCAGTGTCCTGTCTAGTACAAATGGAAACAAGGGAGAGCATTAGTGTACATACACACACACAAACACACATGCTCACACACACATGCATGTGCACATATACTCAGAGAGATAAATGTCCATATTCAAGATTTAGAATTATAAGGCATTTCCATAGGGATCAATAATTTACAGATAAGTTTGTCAATAAGAAAATACAGTGAATACTTGGAAAACTTTTAGTGAATATGAGAGAACTATAGAATCAAAAGTATACCAAAAGTAATTCATTAGCAAAATCTTATTTCCTCCTTGTAAAGTTGAGAAGTGAGGAAAATGACAATTTTTGACTACTCATGATTTACTTTTGACCAGATAATGTTTTGCATAAACATCAAACTTGAGAAGCAAGTAAGGGGACTAAAAAAGATGCCTGAAAACAAAAAGAATATGTTGTATTTGATAAAGTATGTTATAAAATTGTAACATGTATGTTATAACCATAATATACAATTATAATAGCAATTAAATTATATTAAACTTTTTCAAAATTTCTGAAACAAAACAAATGCTTTTTCTCCTTAAAACAAAACAAACCCTTTTGTATCATTTCAATACAACCAATAATCAACACACTCTACCAATTAACACAATCTACACAATCAACAACTACTCTACCGCAGCCTGCTTAAACACAGTGGCATAAAGACTAAAAAGTCTAGAAAATCAAATAGCAGTCCTGCAGGACACTTAATCTGAATTTCAAGTTTGAAAAGTGAAAGACTTTCAGAAAGTAGTATTTGCTAAGTTACCTCCACTAAATTACCTATACTAGACATCTTACTTGACCATGCATATTTAAAGTTCCATTCTATACAGCTCAGGTATCAGGTATCTGCTAAGAAGCAAGTTACAGTATTACCAACCTCTTCCTCTCAACATTCTGAACAACCCCATAGATTATGGTAACTATGTGCATGTAATGCTCTCTCTGAAACAAATGTCAGCAATGTAGCTTCCAGAAATCATAGGATCAAAATCACATTCTTAATTAGCATTGTTTGTGTAAAATACAGACTAAAATATTAATAGTAAGGAGATATTTTGTATGCAATCCTTTCACAAATAGGATAGACTAAAGAAGTACATATGGGGGGGGGCAGTTAACTGGACACGGAAGACAAAGCAAATAAAGCAAAATGTTAAACCTGGAGAATCTGAGGAAAGAAAAGTAGCCCTCTACAGTATTTCTGTAAGTTTTTGTAAGTTTTAAATTATTTCAAACAACTCTAAGTGAAAATATTAAGTGACTTAACTACTTGAAATAAGTGTATTAAAAGTGCATTTTCACAACAGTTTTACTATTGTATAATACTTATCAATAATTCATACATACATACATACATACATACAACTAAGACACATACAACAATACTCAAGAGAAGTACTGGTTTCATATGCAAAATATTAGAAAAGCCCACATTCCCATAAGTAAAAGAATAAATAAACTGAGATATGCTTAATGGAATAATATACAGCAATAAAATGAACTAAAATTGCATGTACAAGCACCAATGAATCTTACAAACTAATGTTCAACAGCAGGCACTAAATACCAAAGAAAAGATCCTGTACCATTCTCTTTATCCAAAATTCAAGTCCACATAATACACTTTCTATATTATTTGAGATGACGATGTGGGAGTGGTTCTCTAGGCAAATGGGAGAATGTTGCAGACAAATGAGTGGGGACACTGGGGCATTCCACTTAACCATCAGGTAGTGGCAATGGTGGGTTCATTCTTTGATAATCCACCATGCTAGATGATTATGAGGGAGCTCTGATGACCCAGTGGTGAGGAGTTATGCTGCCAACCCAATGGCAGGTGGTTCAAATCCACCAGGAGCTCCATGAGAAAAAGATGAGTAACCTCCACCAGCGGGGTTCACTATGGAAACCCCCTGGAGGGTCAGCTGTGCGTCTCTTCTGATTCCACGGCAATGACTGACTGGGATGCTGATGGATGATGGATTTCTCAATGAAAATAGTTTTGTTTTTACATCACTTTTTGCCTCCTGTTTGTGTTCCATAATCAATTGATGGGGATGTAAGGGAAGAAGTGTAGTGCTGTCTGCTCCTTAGAATTTCTCTGAGACAAGAAAAAAAAATTACTAAATACATAAAATGAGGTAATTTTGAATGATTCTACCAATGTTTAAGTTCTGTATATCTAAATATAGAATTTCAAACAAGATAGGTACAAAATGGTGACATTATACAATGAAAAATATTTTATATATCTACTTCTAGCTTCAATATCTATAAGGATGAAGTAGAAAGAGCTATGAGAAACTTTTAGCACAAATAATGCATACATGTTTCTCTGGGTAGGCAATAAAAATGGTCCAGTGTTGGTGAGCTCTGGTGGCCTAGTGGCAAGAGGCTGCACTGTAATCCCAGAGGTGAGCAGTTTGAATCCACCAGATGCTCTGCTGAAGAAGGAGGGACAATCTCCTCCTATACCAGTCAGATCCAATTTGATGGTACATTCACAAAAAATAATAAAAATAAATTTTAAAAAAAATGGTCCAGCGTCTGAACTACCCTCATGGGCTGTCCTACACCACAGCTTGTAGCAAAACTAGGCTGTCCGAACCCCTGGTAATAGAATTGCTGGCCATCATACCAAGAAGGTTGGGAAAGCACCTACATCTGCTTGTGGTATGTGCCCAGGCCGCCTATGAGAGGTGCGTGTGGTGAAACCTAAGGTTCTCATGAACTTGTCAAAAAAGAAAACATATGTCAGTGAGCTTATGTTAGCTCCATGTGTGCTAAGTGTGTCCGTGACAGGACCGAGTGAGCTCTCCTCACTAAGGAGCTGAAAGCTAAATAAAAAATAGTGCTTTTTTAAGTAAGAAAATCAGATGATTTGTTCTGCTAAAAAAAGAGAATAAGGCATACAACTAAGAAAATGTACTGGAGATAAATGTATATAACTTTATATGAAGTTTTAGAAGAAGTCTTTTTAAAAAGCCATGTTAAGAGCAGAACTTGGACCTTGTTTAAATGTCACTTTTATGGTTCATTCTATCTCAAGAAGAAAAGTGGATTATGCACATCCTTATGTTAACTAGCAGAAGAAGAAAAGTGCAGATGGGTTTGACTGACAGCCCATTCTCTGGTGGCTGAGTGGAAAGGCATTGCATTGCCAACCCAAATGCATGCGGTTTGAATCCACCAGCTGCTCCACAGGAGAAAGAAAGAAGGGCAATCTCTTTCCACACGATTTATAACCTCTGAAAACCCGCTGGAAGTTCAGCTTTGAGTTGGTTAGCAACCCGACAGTACCTAACAACAACTGTAAAGTTGATATGATTCTGACTCAAAGTGACCTTTCGTGTTAGAGACTAGGACTGCACCCCATTGGGTTTTCAAGACTGTGGCATTCTGAGTGTAAACCACAAACACTTAGAAGTAAAAAAATAAATAACTCTCTGCACTAACCAGAAGGCCTAGTAGTACTACAGAGATAAGGAAAATGGCTATTCTAACAAGGGTAAATCCTTGGTTCTTTAAATTCACTGCATATACTCTTTGTATGGCTCACTTCCTATTTTGGTCCTTTAAAACTTTCACCATAAAACTGTCCTTGAAAAAACCCTTTACATCATATTTTATTCCATTTTCAGTAGAAGTTTATGCTTAGCAAGGAGTTTCTTCTTTGACACTAATTCAGTTTTCACAATTCACCTTAACTGTGTTCTGCTTGTCACACCTCCAGGACCCTGGGTTCCATGCTCCCATATCTTTGCATCTTTCTTTAGAGTAAGTGTTGGCTTTGTGGGCTCATAAAGGTGTTTCTTAAATGGAGCATCACTCGTAGGAATAAGACCTTCCTTCTACTTTGGGCCAATCTGTTACTTTGCTAAAAGGTCCTTCCAGGGCTAAAAGGTTCTTTCAGGGCACAGTTGCAGTTTAAGATTTTAAAAATATCTCAGAGTGCTTGTCCCAGAGGGTCCTCTAATGTCAGCTGGTTCAGCAAATCTAGACTTTGAGAGAATTTGAGTTCTGTTCTATCTGCTCTTTTTTTCTGTTCTATGAGGGTCTATCTGTTGTTGCCCTAAGAAGAACCTGGAAAAACCACTTATAGTTAATTATTGTCAGTAGTCTTTATTAGATATAAGATTCAGTGTTTGAATATGACTTTATGTTAATTCAGAGAAAAATTCATGTTTAAAATTATATGTATCCAATATTAATGATCTCTTGTAGAGTGGGGGGAAATTAGACAACTTGAGAAAAGAATTTAGAATTCAAAGATCAGTCTCTTTTACCTAGTTATTGAAAATTACTAGGTTTTATGCTGACTTTTACAATTTTTAAAACCCAAGAAAAGAGGGTGGCTGGTCACACACATTTCCCTCTTTAATCAAAGTTCCCAATTTCAAATAACTACAAGCATCATAAAGTTAAATAATAAAAAATGAATAAATTATGGATTTTTTTAAATGTAATATTGTTGTATGCTATTGCTGACTTCCAGTGCATTTGCAGAAGCTATAAATCAGATGGGAGGAGAGTGTCCATCCTTCTCCAATGGAGCAGCTGGGGGATTCAAACCATGTGCCTTTGGGATTGCAGTGCAGCTTCTTACCACTAGGCCTGCAGAGCTCCTTACTGTATCAAATACTATGCAGCAATAAAAAGTGAATGAACTGAAGCTACCCACCCACACCCAAAATAGGAATGAATCTCCCAAAACTTCAAAGCCATCAGCAAGCAGTGTTTCCAACTTAGCTTATCACTTTCCAAAGGCCATCGACTCCTAATAGGAATCTGAATGATCAATATGAAGATTTAATATAATTTCATATGACAAAAAAGGAGGCAATTTTTTAAAAAGCAAGCAAAAATCCCCAAATGCTATATCTAACCTTTGGATAGCTAAAGCAAGTAACTTGATTTCACAATTTGGAAATTATCAATGAGCACAAAAGCAAAATAAAGTGTATTGTCAGCAGAGTCTGAAGATCCTTCTTACTATTAGAGAGTATCATTTTCAACATGACTCTGTAGTCTTTATGTAACTTATACTGAGACACAGAAAAGTAAACTGATAGCATTAAAATATCCATTAAATATCCAAGACACAGTCTTTATACTTAATGATAACAATATACTGGATCCTTCACTTCAGAGCAGCTGTGTAAATCAGTGGCTTTGGGGTCTGTCCAAAGAGACTAACAAAACAGGATGATAAGGGCACATTTGCTTAGCATGTGTTAGCTCTGGCCAGTGTTTCAAACAATCCAAAGCTTAGACTGTGAGACCCAGAGCAAAGAAACAAAGATACAGTATACCAAAATCCTTTTTCTCAAAAAGATAACCTTGTCATTAAAAGTTTTGAAACTACCAGTCTGAAGGGTTCTCTTAATAAAATGAACTGGAAAGGAAACAAATTATTAGAAAGAGATTAGCAACAAGCACAACATAAAGATGCAGAAGCGTCACTCCAAAATGAATTAGTCACTATTTAGTAACATTATCAGCAAATCACTGCAAAAAAAGAAATTTTGGTTTACAAAACAGAGGACACTGATCTCACCTGATTTCATTTTCATACTGTGGGGACAGTCTACCTGAATTCTGGTAAAAGCTTTTCAGGAAAGAGGGGGCAGAGAAGGAAGGGGCAGAGTAGGAAGTGTGGAGACTTGGAAGACTGGAGGAAGAACTACTCTCCTTGTGCGTACGTCGGACTGACGGAAGAATGCTGAGTACAGAAAACACAGCAAATTTGTCTTAATTTATAGTTCAGCAAAATCTTCATTCACTATGAAAAAGCATATAAACAGATTCTCGCTATTAATTTTCTTTGAAAAGATCAGGGCTGGATCTTATTTAGAAGAAGGGAGGAAAAAGCAGCATGCACTTCTCTTTTTAGGTGACAACAGCCCAATCTGACTCTTTCACAAACTGATTTCATTATCTAAACAGTCTCTCCAACACTACATTTGTCTGTAAAAAAAAAAAAAATGTATAATAATTCGATAGCACAAAATGGGTTTTGTAAAAAAAAAAAAAATGGGTTTTGTCCATGTAAAAGGCATGTCAAGAGAAAAAAATACTAGGAAAGCTCAATTACAGGAAATAAGTTCCAGAAGGAAAAAGTGATTATCAGTAGTTGAAAGACTTTACTATTTTAAAAAATCTAAACCTTCCAAAGAATTCAACAACCACATGCCTGGCTGCTGGAAAGCACTAGAATACCATAAACTTAGCAACATTAATGACCATGTCCTTTCCTGAAAGCTGATGGACTATGCTGCTTAGCTTTATCTAGGTTTTCTTTCAAAAGAAAAAAAAATAGTTCTTTCCTAGCAAGTTTACAATAATATGAATAGTATCTTTTTATATTGAAATTGCTTGAATTGTTATATTATATAATGTATTGACAGGAAAAAAATTAGAAAGGTATAGTGACATCATTTATTGCAAAAAATAATATTTTAGATTATTGAAAGAAAAGGTTTATTGTCTCAGATAAACATAAACAATTATGATCATAAGATACCTTTCTATATTATATGAATACTGAATCACTTCCCTTAAAAGAAGTTGAGGACAATTTACTCTGTCGGTTTCATTTTCCTATACTCTAAAAGTCTTAATTTTTTTAAATACCAACTCATTCTGATACCAGTTGAGAATAAAATTCTCTCCAGAGAAATACCTGGCAAAGGTAGATTAGATACCCTATAACAATTGGTCTAAAAATTAGCCTTCTCTTTTTACTTAGAGTTGTCTCCATTTAGAATTATTATTACATTCAGTTTCTCATATTAAACGTATAGATAAAGAGGAACAAAATAAGTTATTGGATAGAAATTCTGATCTGTGATATAATCATGATACAATTCCAGTTTTAACCCCATTCACTACTTGTTACTCAATCCCAAATAACTTAAATTATTCTTATATAACAGGTAAGGTGATTTCTAAAGGCTATTTCCTATTAATTATCACATGTATATTTTTCTTTACTGGCATTACTTCTTAATGGTCTAAAATTCTTTTTAATGATCTAAAACTTAGAGAAAGTTCTTTCACAGTTTTGATATTTGGCTTTTGTTATGTCATAAAATATAACCAAATAAAAGTTGATTTGGGTGCTTCTTTCAATACAATAAGCTAATTACGGAGGCTAACAGGAAGCTCCACTGGGAGGCGACATTAGGAGTCACTGACTTTGCTTCTGTACAGTTGTCATCAAGAGGACCTGGCTCAAAAGTGTTGTCAGCAAGGTTTCAGACAAAACAGCTCTAAGACATCTCGTTGGGTTTGGTTTTGGTTGTGTGTTTTTGTTATTATTATTTTTGTCCCTTTTTTTCTGACACAAAGAGGGGAAGGAAGTGTCCATTCAAAAATACTTTAACTCTTCTGTGTGGGTGTGCCTCGGATCTTGCCTTGTTCCCTAGTAATCGAGGTTTTTATAATTTATTTCATGTGTACGGTCTTTTTAAGTCCTAGACATTGACTAGAGCACAAAGCCTCAATAAATCTGTACTCCGCGTTGATCAAAACAGAACTGACAGGAGCATTTCACTTCCCCTGGAGGGAGGAGGTTGGACTCACCTGCACTGCTCGCTGGAGCTCTGCCTCAGGAGAGGGGAGCGGACCCCATGGGCCCTCCCATCCTGCAGGTTCAGCTTTCGCTTTGTGCTCGAAGGTGGGTGGCTGAACGTATGTGCCCGTCTTCGGAAATGTGGGGAGTCAGAATCTTCTTCAGGGAATGCGTTCCACGCAGAGGACAGAGGGGAGGCTGGTGGTGTTCCTGGTGGGGTGTCCCCTGGGGAGTAGTCCTGAAAAGCAAGCAAGAGTGAAGTCTTCCTTTCCTACAAGGACTCTGGTAGACCCCCTGAAACACACAGCTCAGGAGTGACAGGGGCCTGTTCTTCCTCCTGAGTCATGACTTTTTTTTTCTCCCCCCTTTTACACAATCCATGCTGAAGGCTAATCAGTATCACCACAACCCATTTCTTCTGATAAGCAGCTGTAGGGCAGCATCCGTAAAGGCAGGCCAGAAAGAGAAAGTGGTGATAAGAAAAGGTATTCTGTCCTGACACTCTGTGGTAAAATGCTGTAGAGTTACAGTGCCTCTCACTGTTGCCAGAAATGAAGAGATTACAACCAAAAGAAGGTGGAGTCTGTGTTTATGTAGTTACTAATTTCCGTGACATACGTTTACATGTTTCCTGTACTATCAAAAACTGTATTACATTGCCTGAGTGACCAGGTCCCGTGGCAAAACTGACAGGAAGATCAAATAAAGCCTGTGAAGAGTCTGCCTTCACTGAGGATGTTCCTATCCAACTACATGTTGCCTGGGGTAACTTTTTTCCCTGAAGCTTGAAAAACAGGAAATGAATGAAGGATGAACTCTGCTGGGATGCCTCTGGTATTGCATGAGGAGACGTAATAAATCTTCCCATTTAGACAGGTGCACTGCTCATACTTTCCAGAACAGACAGCATTTTAAAAAATGCTCAGCTTCGTAAACACGGGCGAGGATCAAAGCTGAACTAAGACCTCAATTCCAACAACAGAAAAACTTCACAGAGGTATTTAGTGTTTCCCAGTTTGAAAGGAAAAGAAAAAATGGGTTGTATATGTGTTAGGTGAGAGGTTTCCTATCAGAACAAAGAAACAGGAAACCAAAAAGCGGGGGTAGAGGTTTAACGTGAGAAAACAAAAAAGAAAAACCGGTCACTGTACAAATAGTTATTACTTGACTCCTTTTCTATAGTTTGGCACTGTTCGAATACTGTCCTGCAAAGAAGAAGTGCTCCCAACAGTAAGAAGGTTGACGGAGCAGAGCAGCCTGCCTAAGCGGGACACGTTCTATCTATAAAGTTTCAGCTGGAAAAGGAACAAGACATTAATATACAGAGTCTGCAAAATATTTCTTTAAATAACACGGCCTCAAATATTTCTCTCCCACCCCCACCTAAAAAAAAAAAAGCTATAAAGAACCAAGGTTAGCAAGCACATATATTACCATGGCAGTGTTGGTATTGGCTAAACTCCAATTTGTATGGAAAGGGGAGCTCCGGTTAGATACCTTCTCTGAAGCAACACTGTTGGACCGTTCAAAGCTGTCCATGCTTCCAAGACGGCCTCTCATTCTGTTAGCGCCCTGAGAGAGGAGAGGAGAATTACATTTTTCATTTGGCTTAGGTTTTCACTTGGAAGCTATGAGAGGCAGTTTCAATCACCTCTTTATGTTAGCATGATATTGATTCTTTTGTGGTTTACTCCAATTTGTTGGTGGTATGAATAGACCATTACAGCACAGTAAACAGAAGTACCCACACACCTCAGAGATACAGCAGGTTCGGTTCCAGACTTCCACAGCATAGTGAGTACTGGGGCAGGAAAGCCGTTCACATGGGTGTTTTGGTTTTCTGACTTATAGAAGAACCATGTTTATACTATACCATAACCTATTAATATTTACCCTGTGTATCCAACAATCCAATGTCCAAATATTACTGTTGACCTGGCAGACTAGTGGGTAAAGAGTTTCGCTGCTAACCAAAAGACAAGTGATATGAATGCGCCAGCTACTCCAAGGGAGAAAGATGGGCAATCTCTTCCCGAGTGACTCTGAAACCTTGCTGGTGGGTCAGCTAGGAGTCAGTTCTGACTCAACACCAGAGAGCCATTTGCTGTGTATTAAGTATGCAATGTCGTTGCACCTTCAAGGCGAGTCCACCCTCACGACCTCTGAGATACTCAAACCCAATGCTCTAGTCACTGTGCCAATCCACTTTGTTGAGGGTCTTCCTCTCCTCCTTCATTCCTAAACCTTTCCAAGCATGATGTCCCACTCCAAGGATCAGCCTCTCCTAACAACATGCTCAAAGTTTCATCATCTTTGCCTCCATGGAACGCTCTGTAACATTATGACTATGCTTCAGTCATTGAAAGAATTAGCAGAAGGTGGCATCCAGTGAGAGGTGAACACATGCTGTTAGAAAAAGGATGCCAGGAGATTTGCTCAAGGCTAGGTTCCTACAAACCTGAAATTTGTGTTTAAAAAAAAAAAAACAACCCAAAACTACAAAACTGCCTTGCTTGATAAAGCAAAGTACTATAAAACAAGATAGGCCTTTTTCACAATCTATTTCCATTATCGTTAAATCAGTCATTAGTCTAGTCTAGTCTAGTCTAGTCTAGTCTAGTCTATCTTTGTCTATCTTAGTCTATCATAATAGGCAGTATTTACACATCTACTCAAACCAAACTCTTTGGAGTTATTTTCGTTAAAGGCAATAGATTCATCCATAAGTTCTTGTTATTCACTGAGCCTCACAAACCTTCTCATACAGATAATAAATGCAGAAGGTATCACAAGGCAAGCCAACACACCAAAAAGTGAAATAATTTGACATTTTTCTCTGTGCAATCTAATTACAAATTCATATTTCCTGTGACAGAATTATGAGTATAGATTCAAAAGAAAACAAAGTGAAAGTGGTTTGAAAAAGTTACAGATTTTGTAGCATTCAGTCCTCATTCAAAATTATTTCAGTAAGCAACACACTTCACGCTCATAGATTAGATATCAATCTGTCTTGTTTCATCGATATTAGTGAACTCCTTCATTTTCTTGTAAAATAGCCTTTTCTTTGGATTTGACAGTGACCTAAGTAGAAACTGTTGTTCTTAGATGCAGTCAAGTTGGCTCCAACTTACAGTGACCTTCCATGTAACAGAACAAAAGGCTGAACAAACAACCTTCTCTTGGAAGAAGTGCAGAGTACTTGCTTAGAAACAGGTCTGGTGAGCCTTCATCTCATGTAGTTAGGCATGTTACTAGGAGGGACCAATCCTTGGAGAAGTACATTATGACTGGAAAGTGGGTCAGTGAAAGAGAAGACCCCCCAACGAGATAGACTGACACAGGGGCAGCAACAATGTGCTTAAAACATATCAGGGACAATGAAGATGTGACAGAGGGTCAGCACAGGATTAGCTGATGTACCTGCTTGTATCACGAGTTAAGAAACTGTCTTATCTTGTCCCTCATTTTGCACAGGGGGAGAAATTAAGGTCAAAGACCTAAGGAAAGAGGACAGAAAGGCAGGCAAACAGCTTCATCACAACAGTGCCTTAGAAGAAAATGGAAGAATTCCACAATGGCACAAAGTCCTAAAACCTAAGCCCAAAATAGTGATTAAACCTAAACTTGTGCAATAGCTATTATGAAAGAAGAGAGGGAGAGGAAGTATGCATAGAAATGAAGAGCAGAATCATAGCTGGCTGACCCTCCCCAAACAGAATTTAAAAGTCAGACTGCGCTACCAGACATAAAGTGGAAAGCACAACTCACTAATCTGCACTCTCACACCCTGAGTCCCAAGCTCCCAAAGTAAACAGCAGGGATTACATTGTGGTGTATAGCTTCTACTGACATTACATAGTCTTTCCATTGGCATTCTATTCTAGAAAATGAAACTTTATTACTGTTAGGACTTCACTGTTTTCTAGATGTTACTAGGAAGCCAATTTGTCTCATCATTCCAGGACAATTTCTGTTGTTGTTGTTGTTGTTGTTGTTGTTGTTGTTGTTGTTGTTGTTGTTGTTGTTAGGTGGGTGCCATCGAGTTCAGTAGGACTCAGCAACTCCATGAACATCTTAGATCTGAACCCTGTTCTAACCTGCGCCGTTCTCACACTTCCTGACATACAAGTGCCCATTGCAGAAGTCACAATGTCAATCCACCTAGTCGAGGGTTTTCCTCTCCTTCTCTGACCCTCCACCCTTTCCAGCATCATGTCCTTCTCTAAGGAATAGCCCCTCCTGGCAACATGCTCAAAGTATGTGAGGCGAAATCTGATCATTCTTCCTCCAAAGAGCACTCGGCTACACCCTCTACCAGACATATCTATTTGTTCTCTTGGTTGTCCATGGCCTGTTCAGTGTTCTTCTCCAACACCACAGCTCAAAAGTGTCAATTCTTCTTCTATCATTTTTAATCATTGTCCAGCTCTCAGATACATAGCAAGTAAGTGGAAAGACTCTTCCCTGAATCAGATGCACTTTAGTCTTCAAACTGACACCAATACTCCTCAATAATTTGGAGAGGTCCCTAACTGCAGATTTTCCCAGTGCAATGCATCTCCTTACTTCCTGACTACTGGTACCAACTCAAAAGTCAACTTGCCTTCCATTCCAGGCCAATTACTATTCACAATAGAGTAAGTAAATACAGACCAATGCATTTCCACTATTAGAAAAATAACTTGAATCAGTTATTTTACTGATTATAGTATGTCATTCAGAAGCTTCATCTGACATACTTTGGACATGTTGCAAGGAGGTACCAGTCCTTGGAGAGGGACATCATTCTTGGGAGGTTGGAGGGATAGCACAGGAGAGGAAGACCCTTGATGAGATGGATTGATTCTGTTACTGGGGTATTGGGGTATTTGGGGTAGGTGTGTCAGAGACAGTGCAATTGGCACAGGGTAGAGCAGGGTTTAGGGCTGTTGTACACAGGGTTGCTATGAGTAGCAGTCAACTTGACGGCATATAACAACATAAACAACAGCATCTCATCCATATGGCTTTTTCATTAAAGTAAAAATGTATAACAAATTCTATTCTGTCATTACCATTAATTCATGCATCCCAAAACGTAAGGACAGATGAACATCAGTGTGAGGAAATGATGAAATGAGGATTGTTTTAAAATGAATAACACTTTTCACACCATTTCTCTTGGAAAGCTCCAATTTAGGAAAGTGTAACAGATAAATAATAATGAGAATGGAAGGTTTTGTCTTTTCTTCTTGGAGCAGACAGTCTTTTCAGTTTAGCCATTTTATGATTTAATAATGCATATCTCAAAGCCTTTAGCTGGGACCCACTTCTAATTGTTAGTGAGCTAATCTGCTAAGCACTTTAAAAAAATAATTCTATTTCAAAAACAAGTATAGTTAGCAAAATAAAATACTTCAATAGTTAGGAAAGTCAAACTCGGTATAGTTGTTGTTGTTGTTGTTATTGTTAGGTGCCTTTGGGCCAACTGTGACTCACAGCAACCCTTTGAACAATAGACCAGCCCTGATCTATTCTGTACCATCCTCACCAGCTCTGCTATGTCCCAGCCCAATGTTACAGTCACTGTGTCAATCCACCTCCCTGAGGCTCTTCCTCTCTTTCAAGGACCCTCTACCTTTCCAAGCAGGATAGCTTTTTCCAGGGAATAGCTTCTCTTGACAGTATGTCCAAAGTATGTGAGACAAAGTTGCACCATCCTTGACTCTAAGGAGCATCCAGATTGCACTTCCTCCAGGATAGACTTGTTCTTTGGCAGCCCAAGGGATATTCAGTACTGTAAACACACTGCCATTTTCAATGGCATAAATAATTTGTACCTTTTAGGAACACACAAAACTTCATTAACCATGTAACGTATAATATAAAAATCCATAGCTTACAAAATTCGTTATGAAACACACAGTTGAATGTCTTTGCACGGGCCCTAAAATTCAGGAAAACATCTTTCTGGTAGCCTCTACTTTGAGTGAAATTCCTGCTGTATGTCTAGTTCCATAACCTCCCCTCATCTGGTATGAATTTCTGGCAGTCCCTAGTTGATATACTATTGCTATCAGTTTTTAAATTATCTTCAGTAAAATTCTTAGATAATTTCCACATACCACTAGAGTACCTTTCTTTAGACTAAATACACAGATCTTTCATAATCAATTAACAAGCCATCCTCCAAATTTCTTGGCATAGGCATGTGAGTGCTTTACCACTGCATTCACTTGGTGAAACATCTGAAGTGGGATTCTGTCACTTCCTGGAGCCACTGTTATTCTCCAATGCCCTCTGTGTAGCTTGTATCTCTTCCTTCATTCCATTGGTTCTTCAGCTTATACTAATTCCTGAAATGGCTGAGTCTCAACAAATTACTTTGGATACAATGGCTCTTTGAACTTCTTTTGTTGCCTCCTATGCTATTCAATGGTGCTCAATTTAAAGATTAAGGTGCACCTGACGCAAGTCATGGTCTTTGCAATTGCTTCCTGCACATCTGAAAGTTGTGCAGAATAAGGATGACAAAAGGAGGACCACTCCCTTGAATATTGTGGTGTTGGAGAAGGGCACTGACTAACCCATGGACTGCCAAAAAAACAAACGAGTCTGCTTGGGAGGAAGTGCAGCCAAGATGCTCTTGAGAGGCAAGGATGGCGCAACTCTCTCTCACAAACTTTGTGCCCGTTGCCAGGAGAAGCCCATGCTTAGAAAGAGACATTGTGCTGGGAATGGTGGAAAGTTAAGGGAAGAAAGGAAAATGCCTTGACAAGATGGACTGACATAGTGACTGGAACAATGGGAATATCAGAGACAGTGGTGATGGTGTAAGATAGAGAAGGGTTCATATCTGTTCTTCACAGGAAGGCCTTCAACAAGATGGACTGACACAGTCACTAACAATAGGCTCTCACTCAGAGGAGATCACAAGGATGGCGCAGGGCAGGGCAAGGTACAGATCTGTTGTTCACAGGATTGCTGAGAGTTCCAGCAACCAGGTACCACCTAAAAACAGCAGCATGCCATTCGATACTTTGCAGGTAAAATCTTTCAGTTATTGGGATGCCCAAACATTTTTTTCTTTTTTCTTTCAGCTTGTGAAATACTGAGCTTACCTTCTGATTTTCCAATTTCACTCTGCACATTTCATAGTAATATTTAGTTTGTCTTCTCAGCCTACCCTTTGACATACTCCATTCAGCTCTTCTATTTCACCATCCCCCTCCCCCATTTACTTTAAATATTCTAGGTTTAAAAGTAAATTTTTAGATCAATGTTAGTGTTTTGTTTGTATTTTCTGTTTTTTTAATTATCTTTTACTTTCATCATGTATAATATTCCTATCATTCCACAACTCACAATCATTAATGTTCAATAGACCAAAGCTGTATTTCAGACAGTATTGACATTCAGGTGAGATACACTTTAGACGTCAATGATTTGCATTCATTTTCTTCAGCTTCAACTTGAACGTGAATGTGAAGAGTTAGTTATCTGTTCAGTCATTGACCACCAGCCTAGTTCTGCCTGATGATACTGTCAGATGTCAACTCTTTACAAAGATTAGTTGATTTGATTCTGAAGCATTCCAAACAGCATAACCCGTGATAATCACTGTTAGTGCTGTTGAAAAAGGCAGTCCCATGAATAACCTGTTAGCCTGCAAAATTCTATCATGTTATTTATATCATCAAGGCCATATTTTCCAACTACCTGACTTTCTCTTTTGTTTCCAACTAGAAATTACCACTGAAGGGTCATTTTCACACTGCAGAAGTTGGTAAAAACTTATTATTTCTTCATTGACTTTGCAAGTTGGTGTGTAAATCTGAAAAGTCATATTTACTGAAATTCCTTGTACATATATGGATATCGGCCTCTCACTGACAGCAATGTAGTTAGGGACAGATAATGAAATGTTCTTTTTGGATAATGTTGTTGTTAAGTACCATCAAGTCAAAGATGGCCTTATGAATGAAAGTCCTGAACACATATAACTTTCATCCTTTCTCCAAGTCCATAAGGTTTCTGAAGGCAGGCTATTTCAGAAGTCAATGCCACTCCTGCCTCCAAGCTTGTTTTAATCAGGAAGTTCCACCAAACACTGCCCACCTTGAGTAACCATAATCAAATGTGACACATCAATGTCTCAGTGTTCAGCATCACAGCAACCACGAGTTGCTTCTGTACAGCAAATTGACAGACCAGTGCTACACTACTTAGAAGAATGCTTGACAAAAAACAATTAAAAATCAGGCCAATGCCTTTTTAAATGTGAGGCCAAATCCAATCAGCTCACACCCAATTACGAGCAACAGGCGACACCCAAGCTTCAACCAAAACTGAAAGCAAACCTTTGTAGAATCTTAGCTGTTCCATTCATCTTCCCAGACTGGAAAGTAGTCCCAAACTGGTAAATATGAGGCCAAATCCAGTCAGCTCACACCTAATTGCGAGCAACAGCCCACACCCATGCCTCAACCAAAACAGGAAACACAACTTTGTAGAATAGAGCTGCTCCACTCATCTTCTCACATAATGACTATATTGTTATTCCTCTTCTATTTGTCATTCTTGGAATACATTATATGAATATCTGATTGTTGTTGTTGTTGTTATGTGCCATCAAGTCACTTGCGACTCATAGCAACCCTATGTACAAGATCCCGAAACGCCATTCTATCCTGTGCCTCTCTGTCTCAAACACATTCATTCCCACCACTCCACAGAACTGATCTATCTCATCGACAGTCTTCCTCTCCTGTGCCGTCTCTCCACTCTCCCAAACATGATGTCCCTCTCCAAGGACCAGTCCCTCCTTGCAACATGCTCAAAGTATGTCAGACGAAGCTTCAGAATCCTTGAATCCAAGGAACATTCTGGATTCATGCTCTCCTGGAAAAACCTGTTTGTTCTCCTAGCAGTCCATGGTATATTCAACACTCTTCCCCAGCACCACAGCTCAAAGGCATCAATTCTCTTTCTATCATCCCTATTCACTGTCCAACTCTCCTATGTACAGCACTTAATTGCGAAGACTATAGCCTGGATCAGGTGCACGTTAGTCTCCAGCCTGACATTGTTGCTCTTCAGTACTCTTGAGAGGTCCCTCACAGCTCAATTATCCAATGCAATTCATCTCTTGATTTCCTGGCTGCTGTTACCAAGAGTGCTGACTGTGGAACCAAGCCGACTAAAACTGTTAACTATCTCAATCTCTTCCCCATCCATACTGATACTTCCAGTGGGCCCAGTGGTGAGAATCTCTGTTTTCTTGATGTTGTGCCTCATTCCATATTGAAGGCTGTAGTCCTTGACCTTCTGCAGCAAGTACTCCAGGTTCATAGGGTTTCTGGAGGTAAGCTATTTTGGAAGTGGATGCCACATCTGCTTCCAAGCTTGTTTTAACCAGGGAGCGCCACCAAACACTGTCCACCATGGGTAACCATTATTGCATTTGACACATCAGTGTCACAGTGTCAGCTTCACAGCAACCACGACTTACCTCTGTACAGCAAACAGACAGACCAGTGCTATACCACTTAGAAGAATGTTTGACCAAAACCAATTAAAACCAGGCCTAAGGGCTGCAGATTAAAATCACCCACATTTGGTTTTGTATTGGCAGGGAAGCTCTGAAGGGGGAAAAAGAACAAACCCCAAGCAAAACCAGCCACTTGGCCAAAAACACAACTTCACACTCACTGACATTAAGCCCGAATCTGCTCATAGCTTACCCTCCAATTAGTGCCCAAGGCTATCAATTATATAAGAGGAGATTACCTATCTTTCTGCATCAGAAAAGCTGGTAGATTCAAACCATATACATTTGGGTTGGCAATGCAACTCCTTACCACTAGACCACCAGAGATAGAACAAACTGTTGGAGCTGCAACTCCAAAAGCTTCTGAGCTTTTGATAGGGACTAAGGTTCCCAAATGGATACTGGACCTGAATTGAAGAACAAAAGGCCACTCAAAAACTGAGGTTGAACAGTCCAATCACCTGTGGTGCTTGCAAACTATACAGCTGGCTCAATCTGACAACCCAGACACTTGATGGACTAGGCATCAGGTTAAGGGAACTGAAGATTCAGACAGTTCCACTCATAACTCCATTGATGGGTTCCTGTCACAGCTCTCTGTGCACTGACTACACCTCTAGAGCTCGCCCCTGTAGCCCTGGACATTGATATGCTATTTCCGCTTCATACATCTTTACTATGAAATCTCTATTATTCATATCAATCAAGGAACTCTAGTGGTGGAGTGTTGTGGAGCTGTGCTGCCAACCCAAAGGCATGTGGTTCAAATCTACCAGCTGCTCTATGGGAGAAAGATGGGCAATTTCCTGAGTGATTAAAAGCATTAGGAAACCCACTAGACAGCCAGCTACGAATCAGCTCTGATTCATCAACACGTAACAAATCAGTTCTCTGAGATTACCAGAAGAAATCTAGGTCTGAGCATAAAATCGTAAGTTAATAAAATTTTTAAAGCTTATTTTGCATAAGGGTTAACTACACTAACGTTATCTCAATTTTACCTGAGTTTTTGTTTGTATGTTTTTAGTTTTACCTGAATTTTAAGGAAATCTCCTGTAAGCCTGTTGAGAACGAAACAAAGCAGATAGAAAACAAAGACATTAATATCCAGAAGATCATCACTGTCGTCTTACCCTTGAGAAGATATTTTCCAGGGAACTCGTTAAAGACCTCTTTGCCTTATTTTTCAGAATGTCAAGTTTGAACCTTCCACCACTCGTTGCATTTTCTGGGATTGTACTATTTGAAATGGTCTATAAAGGAAAAACAAGTACATTTTATTTTTTATTAAGTAAAAAAATTATTTTGTTTTGCTTCCAAAGTTTGTAAACATTGTGTTCCACACTATCCTTCACCCATATCGAGTTTCATACAATCATTCCCACTCCTTATATTTTATAAAATTAATTAACAATAACTTTTAATTTTTCAAAGTAAACCCAGCCATCGAGTTGATTCCAACCCCTCAAGAGCTCTGACACTCAGTGGACCTGCACCAAGTTCCAAGGTTGGAACTTTCATGGGAGGAGATCAGTCACCTTCTCCCACAGGAGCAGCTGGTGGACTTGAACCACCAACTGGCTTTTCTTTCCGTTAGCAGCCTGACACAGACTCATCACACCACCAGGCCTCCTGGATTGCAAACACTCAAGATTAAATGAGTCTCTAAGTGGCGGGGCTTAACCAAGCCATTTGAAAATATACAAGTCCTTCAACAGCTCCATTAGAAAGTAAAAACTTGGTTTCCACACTGTGAACACACAGATATTCAGGGGAAAGAGTTTCATTTTCAACATTGTGCCTAATGAAAGACAGCAATAAGATGTTCCCTTCCTGCTTTTCCTTCTTTCTAACAAAACCTGGCGGCTTTCAACCAAAAAGTAAATATGAGATGGCAAGTTTTATGGCTGTTACTCTGATTAATAACTATCCACTCCATGTTGCACGGTTTAAATCTACATTACCAAGGGGAGAGAACAAGAAATAAGCTGTAAGAAAGAAAATATCTTCTAGGATAGCAGGCTGCCAGAACTACATTTTCATATAAGTGAGCAGGACATTTTTCTTTTAGATCAGCAACTGTTCACTCACAGCACTGAGCTGTATGAGCAGCTACTACGTACGTATGATTCACACTATTCTCCGCCCTCCTTCACTCTGCCTCCCTCTGTATCCACGTCAACACGACGTCCTTAACGGTGGCATCTCCTCAGCAGCCCTTCAGTCATTCCTTTCCTCACCTGCTCTGTGTACTAGTTCAGGCGTCTCATCTGAGATAAAAGGAAATTTTCGTGAGACACTCACTCATTCTATGTCCCTCCCAAAGCTCCGCTTGTGTCTTCTGCATCCTTGTCTGACTGCACTGCTGGTATTGCCATTCGGGGTCCCTATGACCCCACAGGACACAGCAGAATGGCACCACTTGGGTTTCTTAGGCTGTAATCTTTTTATGAGAGTGGATCACCAGATTTCTTTTTTTCCCTACGGAGCTAGTCCCATTGTTGTTGCTGTTGTTGTTGTTGTGTACCACGGAGCAGGATCGGACCCACAGCTGCCCACCCCTCCGGTGGATTTTCAGAGGCAGTTCACAGTCGAGCACGTAACTGTTGTATAACCAGCCCTCCTGAGATTACTGTACTAATCACATCACATCTTCATTTCTATAATTACATGCTAACTTGCATTCTAAATAAAAGAAATTGCTTACTGTGTGGTATGCATTTGATAGAGGTTCGTGCAATACTTACAATAATTAAGTGAAAGAATATGCCATTTTCTCTGAATACAGAGTGCAATAAATATATAGCCCAATCTCGGCCATCATGCTTAGAAAGCTGGCGGCTTAGAGAAAGAGATGAAGACTTCCACTGAGCTGGACTGACATGGTGTCAGCAGCCACGAGCTCACAGACATTAGAGAAGTGAGGACAACACAGGATAGGACAGAACTCAGGTGTGTTGCTCAAAGGGTCGGCATGCATCGTACTTGACTCAATGGCAAATAACAACAACAAAAACAACAGTGCTATTTTTAAAAGTTGTTAAAAACAGTGTTATTAAGAGGCAATGATGCTTTGGTTCTAGTACGATGCTACCAATAATAGCCTAGCTTTATCTGTCTCTAGCTGAAAACACCTTCTCACCCACATGCATGAACCTACCATCTTTCCATTGCAGAACTTGCATAATACAATATCCTCGTGCTTTCCCACTTTCATAGTCATACACCCTTGCTCTTTACTATCCAGATTGTCACCTTTTGTCTCGGGTTAGCACAAACAATGAAATGTTTAATTTTCAACCCAAAAGTTAGTAGTTCAAATCCATTCAGTGGCTACCTCACCATGGACTATCAATCTTTTCTGGAAAGCTTCCAATAAGATAAAATATCCTTAAGAAATTGAAATACCCATCAACAAATGAATGGCTAGAGAAGCTGTGGTATATTTGCACAATGGAATACTATGCTGCATTAAAAAACAAGGAACTCATGCAATATTACTCAAAATGGTTGACTCTGGAGAACATGCTGAGTGTAATGTCCCAGTCACAAAGGGACAAATATTGCATGGTGCCACTGTTGTAGAATGGGACTGTCCTTGGGGTTGGGGAGAAACTGAGTAAGATGGGTTCAATAATGTATGCTGCTCTGAAACAGAGAAGGGAGAAAACTGTTTAAAAGAGATATGTGATTAGGTATTTCGGTCATGACAGGAGTCTAGAGTGATGGCTACATGGTGGAGTGGACCTGGGAGAGGGTTTGTAAAATAATGAAAGAATCTTTTCTTTTACTTTTCCAAGAGGGTAATGTCTGGTGGGGAGGGAGCCTTGGGAGGGGACAAATCTACAACAATGAATGAATGGAAATCCAAAGCCTCTGTAAATTTTCACTGAAATTAATAACAAATTTAAATTTAAAAAAAAGAATTAAGTTAGAGTAAGGATGGCAATGGAACCACCTTACCTCTGTAACTTGTTTTGTGCCACTATTAGAACCTCTACTCAGAATATTATTGCTTTTCAATTTTTAACTCATGCACTTTTAACTTGTTAGTTAAATTTGTATCTTCTAGGCTGCAACACTTCCATGATACATCTTCAAGGATATGAACATGTACAGCTAAGCACAATTGATAAGAGTGCATCTAAATTCCAAAATCAATCTCCATAATAGTCTATGTGTTTCCTACTGCCAAGGGGGCCCTTTGGAGTAGTGAGAGAAGACATTCACCCTAAAACCCACAGCGTCCCTTTTCAGCAGGAAGTAGCTACGAGAATACGCCATCCCCTTTTCCTTATGAATCAGGGTGAAGTCTCTCTCAGGGAGGAGTGATAGGGAATGGCAAGGGACACACTGACAAAGGAGATTAATCAGAACTGGCTTTGACAAGCACTGTGGCAATTGGACAATTAAAACAGACATGGGGGTGGGAAAGAAGAACGAACTGGGGATGAGGGTGGAGAAAACAGTGCAACAATGAATGAATGAAAATCCACAATCTCTGTAAATGTTCATTAAAACTAATAAAATTTAATAAAACAAAAAAAGAAATTGAAATAAAATACGTACTAAAATACCTAAAAATATACTTTCATTGTACGTAATGAACATTTGTTATTCTTGTTTTTATTATAGAAACTACAAATATTCTTACATTTTAAAATCATCTTACTGTACCTCTTTGTAACAGTATTTATTAAAAGGCTCTTACAAAACCTCTAAAATGTTGGGAGTCAGGGAAAATTTAAGATTTTTGCTCTCAAAAATGCCAAGGAGGTATGGTTCTCACTCCTTAGAACAATCAACTATACAGGCTCTAACAGGCAGTATTTACTCAGGGAGACAACGCAGAAGGCAGGAGGGAGAGGAGAGAAGGCTGGGTGGGAACAAGAATCATAGCGAGGGAGCAGGAAGAGTGCTGTTACAACACAGGGGAGAGGGAGCAGTATAATCAATGCTACAAATCAAAATGTATGCATGGTTGAACAGAAAACCAATTTACTCTCTAAACATTCAGCTAAATCACAATCAAATGTTAAAGAAAGTTAATTTTTTTAAAAATCATGTTAGGTAAAGAAACTCCTCCTTCATCTCCATAAATAATATAGTGATAAATTATGCAGTAAAGAAACAAGCCACAAACAGACAGGGAGAAAAGGTCTCACCGGTGGGCCTTCGCCAATGTGGGTGTGTGTCTTCTGCTTGGCCTCACACAGCTGTCTCAGGTGTAAGATCACCAGCTCATTTTCCTCCTGGTCACTCACTGGCTTCATTTTCTGGGAGACAGGCAAAGCAAGAACACAGATGGTGGCATCAGAGAACATGGCAAACCAGCGCCCCTCATTTCACACTGTTCTCACTTGCTTTTGTCATTTTGGCAGACAAACATAAATAAACCAAGATTTCAAAAGCTCTGAGAAGCAACACTGGGACTGTCATCATTTCAGTTACTGATAAGTATCACTATATAATATGTATCTTTAACTTTGGAAACAAAACGTGAAAGGGATTTATGAAAACAGGATCTGATTCAGGTTCCTTGTATCGTAAATCAATGCACCATGTTACCTGAACTCGTTCGAAGATGTCTGCTTGCTCATTATCTGTCAACGATGAGAGATGTCTCTGTATTACTAGCTTGGCCCTTGGGGGATAGAGACCTAAGGAATAATAGCAGGAGGAGAGTAAGTATTAAGCAGAACTCAGCAGCAGAGATACTATGTATACAAAGCCCCACAGCAGGTACTGAATTTAAATCTTCTCAGATTGTGTGACTGCCAAGAGCAAAGCTTGGGACAGAAGAGCAAGATGATTAAAACTATGTAGGAAATCTCCTCACCAAAACTGATAGCCTCTGACAGTGCCCCTGAAGTCAGACTCAGAACCAAGAAATTTCAAGTGATATTAAATTAACAGGACAAGTGGGTATCATTTAATTTCTTAACAAACTTAACCAAGTCATAGCTGATTTAACAATATCGTAAATGATGGTATGGAACTTAAAGCTCAGCTGCAGCCTTGACTTGCATCTGTGATAGTTATGACTAACTTATAATGGGGGGATGTGGCGCTGGGGCCCACAAGGAATTAGGCACTTAACACAAAGGCTCTAGAGGTTCAAATACAAGGGAGAAAGATGAACACTCTCCTTCCATTTCATCTATAGCCTTCTGGGTCTGCTATCTGTTCTGACTCGATGGTGATGGGTTTGAGTTTTCTAGAACTAAATTCAGACTCTAGGAATTTTAATGATGTAACTGAACACAGCTGGAGTTTCTTTTAAACAGTGTGTGCTTCCTTCTGACAAGAATTGATTTCCTTCCATTTAGGATCACTCACTAGTGAATTATCAATATTGACAGTATTGTAAGGAGTCATGGTGACAACAGTGATGCACTCCACTGCTCGCCAGGAGGTCTGGGGCTCACACTATCAGCTGCAAAGACTTGGTGATATGCTCATGTGTCCATAGTAGTTATAATATTGACTCTTCACAGCATGTCCACTTGAAAACCACGGTGAGTCAAAAATGGAATTTGCCAAATAACATACTTTGATATTATTCTAGAAAAATGCATATAGCATTATTACATATTTTCTGTTTAAGCCTTTTTTTGCTGGTATTTACTTCTAGAAGAAACGTGACAGCTTATTGTCACAACAGGGACTGTCAAGTTGAGTACAACTCACAGTGACCCTACGAACAACCAAGCTGAACACTGTCCTATCCTGTGCCATCTCCACAACACTGAAACCTACAGGGTCATTCTACTCTATTCTATAGTATCGCTCTAAGTTGGTATTGACCCAAAAGCAATGGGCTTGGTTTATCTGGGGGGATGTTGTCAGAAGGTGCCATTCCTTGGAAAAAAGAACTTCATGCTTGAAAAATGATGAGGGTCAGTGAAAGACAGGAAGCCCCTCACTGAGATGGAGGGTGGCAGTGACAGCGGGCCTGAAAGGGGTGGAGACACTGAGGATGGCGCAGGAACTGATGAGGTTTCAATCTGTTGGTCACAGGGTCACTATGCGTCACAGCTGACCCCATGGCACCTAACAACAACAACAGCAGCATGTACAGGGCAGAGAGGAGCCCACTTGGTGCAGTTCATACCACGATGAGCTGCTAACCGAGGTGCTGGAAATTCAAATTCACCCACCACGTGAAGGGAAAATATTATCAGTCTCTTCCCATGAAGTTTTACAGCCTCAGAAACCTGAGGGAGGGTCAGGAGTCAGAAATAACTGGGTGATGGCTGGGTTGAGTTTGTGTACAGACCAGTCGAAAGAACTGAGGGAATCAAGTCCCTTGGGACGACGAGGAGAGGCCACGCGCGTAGGAGAGAGTGGCAGTACAGGTTGATGTGACCAGATGTAAGAAATTACTTTGGGGCTCTTGTTTCAAGCTCAAACAAAGAGCCACTGAGTGAGTGACAGCAGGAAATGCTCTTGTGTCCCAGGGCCTTCTGCCGGGCCCATGTTGCCCGGTACCTTCGATCCTCTCACAGAGCTTGTGCAGAGAGTGCATTGGGCAGGCCTCACACAGCTTGATCTGGGTCTTGGCGCTCTGCAGGGCAGCAGCCGTGCTGAAAGCCTGCTTCAGGGTCAGCATTACTTCATCCACCTGCAAGAAGAAACACAGCTCAGGGCTACGAAGGCGTGCTTTCACAGGAACACATTCAAACCACACTGGCATCACGAGACGCTGCCAGCTAGATGGAATTCCGATGATGAGAAAGCTGGCCCAAAGTATTAGAGCTCAAAGTTGGACTTTCTGTAACTGCAACAAAGCTGGATGTGGCATCATAGTCACACACAACACACACACAAACACACACCGTCTGCTAACATGTGGAACTGCAAGCTAACCTATGTGAAGGCTCCTTTCAAATACACCAGGCAGTTTAATTACTTGATCAGGCCTTTGTTTAATTAGGTGGCTTATCAGATCAAGACTTGTCTGGGAGTTGAAGACTACAACATATTGGGATCAACAAAATAGATTCAACAGCCACTTAGCAGGTATTCTATTTGGTTCATACTTTTGGATCATTTTTCAGTGTTAAAAACAAAATACATTTAAGTTCATTTCTAAGGGGGAATGAGTTCAACTTAAGCAACAGGATAGAATATCTGAAAGTTGATGATCTTATCTACTTTTTAGTGGCTTCTAAGTTGTTATGATTCCACTTGTTATCTTCTGCCACTAAGAAGTGCTGACAAGGTGCTGTCTACCAGCTCAGTCCCACCGTTCAGCCGCCAACGTGAAAACTGCCAGCTATTTCCTGTGTTCCCCTTCATGACTCAGTCCAGAAGTTTTATAGGCAAGTCAACAAAATGAACAATAGACTGGGACGGTTGGTACTCCCCAGACCAACCAAACTACATGAGATTAAGAAGACAGCGTGTGCTCAGGGATGAAGCCCAGACGCCTGGAAGGGTTAAAAAGGAAAGATGAATGGAAATGATAAACACAAAGAGGAAGTCAGAAGAATGCTGTTCTATCATGTGGGGACTGCAAACAATGCCACAAAATCAAATTGTGTATGAACTGTTGTCTGGAAAACCAATTTGCTCTGTAAACTTTTACCCAAATCGCAATAGAAAGTTTAAAGACATTTAAAAAAAAATGTTTCAAAAACCCTCAACTCCAAATCTGATGCCTTTGAACAGACTGTAAAACTCTCTGTCTCACATACTTTGAGCATCTGATGAGGGAAGACCAGTCCTTGGAGAAGGACAACATGCTTGGAAGAGTGGAAGGACAGCATGGGAGAGGAAGACCCGGAATGAGATGGAGGGACACAGTCACTGTGGCAATGGAGGCAGGTGTATCAGAGATGGGGAGCCTGGCTCAAGACAGAGCAGAGTTAAGAGATATTGTTCATAGGGTCTATGAATTGTAGTTAACACTGGTGAGGAATACTGAATATATTATGGACTGCCATGTTGTTGTTGTTGATCACCTTCAAGTTGAACATGACTCATAGCAACCCTATGAACAAAAGGCCTGAAGCCACTCTACAATTATTGACATTTATCAAAGTTTATAGTTTTCGGAGGCAATTTGTTTAGAAATCAGATGCCACTCCTGCTTCCAAACCTGTCACAGAATATTATTGGTTGAGTTGCCTGAGATGTATGTTGTTGTTGTTGATATGTGCCATCGAGTCGCTTGCGACTCATAGCGACCCTATGTACAAGAGCTCTAAATGCCATGCTATCCTGTGCCAACCTAGCCACCCCAAATGCACTTATTCCCACCACTCCAGTCACAGAAACGATCCATCTCATCAAAGGTCTTCCTTTCCTTTGTCGTTCCTCCACTCTGCCAAACATGATATCCCTCTCCAAGGACCAGTCCCTCCTTGCAACATGCCCAAAGTATGTCAGACGAAGCTTCAGAATCCTTGACTCCAAAGAGCATTCCAGCTTCACCTTCTCCAGGATAAACCTGTTTGTTCTTCTAGAAGTCTGAACCTTTCCCTGTCCTGAGTCAATCTCACTAATTCTGACATACCAACCCCCATCGCCCCAGTTACTATATCAATCCACCTCATTGGGTCTCCCTCTCCTGCACTGTCTGTCCACCCTTCTGAGCATGATGTTCTTCTCCAAGGACTGATCTCTCCTGGCCATGTGTCCATAGTAAGTGAGCCTGAGCTTCAAAATCCTAGCCTCTAAGGAGAGATTTGGCTTCACCCTCTCCAAGACAGACCTATTTGCTTTCTTGGCAGTCCCTGGCATGTTCAAGACCCTTCTCCAGCATCACAGCTTGAAGGCATCTATTCTTCTTCTGTCGTCTTTAGTCATTGTCCAGCTCTGTGAAGCATAACAAGTAATTGAAAAAAAAAACAGCACCTTTATATCTAGACTGACACTGTTGCTCTTCAGCACTCTGGAGAGGTCCATGGCAACAGATTTTCCCAATACAACTTATCTTTTGATTTCCTGACTGCTGGTACTAAGAGTGTTGATTGTGGAGCTGAGCAAGCTGTAATGGCTAACAACCTCTATCTCTTCTCCATCTATCATGGTGCTGCCAATTGGCCCAGTGGTGAGAAACTTTGGACTGCCATAGTACAAACAAATCTGCTTTAGAAGAAGGCTCTTTAGAACCAAAGATGCTGAGACTGTGACTCACATACTTTAGAGGAGTTATCAGGTGGGCTCAGTCCTAAGGGAAGGACATCATGCTTAGAAAGACAGAGGACCAGTGAGTAACAGAAGACTCAGCAATGCGGACTGACACGGTGACTGCAAGGATGAGCTTCAGCACAGCAGAGACCGGGAGGCTGGTGCAGAGCTTCTTTCTGCTGGACATGGGGGCGCTGGCACTCAGCGTCTAGCCAGCAGTACCCAGCTACAGTAAAGACCTTCTAGTTTTCTTGGCTCCTTCTTTGAAGGCAGCTAACAATCCACCTGTACACATTCGTTGTATCCTGTACACCTAACAACTACAACGGCCTAGTCAGGAGCAAGTTGTGCTGAAGAAGGAGGAGAAGAAGAGAGTTAGTCGTCTTCTCTAAAACACAATCATTAATGAAAAGGTATGGTTCCTCGCACAGCTTCAGATCTCAATACTAATACTGAAATAAAGAAATGCAATATAAATAAAACACTAAAATCAATGTTATGAAAGACTAAGGCCTCCATGTGAACTAGCTTTCTTATTCAAAACCCAAGAAATTCCTAAATTTTGTTCTTAACGTTCCCATCAATACATCCTAGGGCTTCACTTCTTTCATGATCTGTTCTACTCACAATGCTCTGGTTACTGTTGAGTGGGAACCAATCCATAGCTGACCCTCTGGCAGGTTTTCAGAGGCTGCAAATGGCACCGGAGGAGATGGCTCACCGTGGGTTTGAACTTCCCGCCTTCGCGTTGCCAGCACAACTTCCTCCTGACTGGGTCATTGTTGTTGTTGTCGGGTATCACTTCTTTACACCTCATAGTGACCTTGTGAACAGCGGAGCTGAGCCCTGTCCCATCCTGCACCGTCCTCATCACCTCTGACACATGTGAGCCCACCACTGTCATCACTGCATCAATTCATCTTGGTGAGAGTCTTCCTCTCTTTCACTGACCATCCACCTCTCCAAGGACAATGCCCCTTTCCAAGGAATAGCCTCTCCTAGCAACAAGTTCAAAGTATGAGAGAGGAAGCATCACCATCTTTGCCTCCCAGACCCCGTGCTATTTGTGTGAATTCAGAGTCCTGAGTGTGGTCCTTGCCTGGTGCTACAGAGCTGACCGCATGATTCAGGAGGATTCCATACACGATAGAACAGAAAACCACTGTCCGGTCCTGCACCGACCTCCATGATCAGGTGTGGGCTGGACGCCGGGCAACCTTTGAATTTTCACTGGCTGGTTTCCAGAGGTCATTACAGGTCTTTCTTCCTAGCCTGTCTTAATCTGGAAGCACCACTGAATCCTTTTTAGCAGCATAGCAACACAAGAGCCTCAATCAACAGAATAGAGAAAATGGCTGAATCTAGGGTGCAGGAGCTAGAAATCAAACCTGTGCCTCCTGCCGAGGTAAAAGTTCTACCACTAAACCAGTATTCTGGGTCTCCTACTGCCATCAGATAAATTTTTGCCTGTTGTTAATATGTGCTGTCAAGTCACCTGTGACTCATAGTGACCCTGTGTACAACAGCCCTAAACTCTGCTCTATACCTTGCCAGCCTTATTGCCTCCAACACACCTACCCCATTACCCCAGTCACTGAATCCGTCTCATCGAGGGTCTTCCTCTCTTACACTGTTCCTCCACCTTCCCAAGCATGACATCCTTCTCCAAAGACTGATCCTGCCTTGCAACATGTCCAAAATGCCTAATCCCTGGATTTTTATCTACAGTTTAAATTTTTGTCTACTGTTTGCATCTGTGTTTTATTTTCCATTTGCTTAGTAATAAACTTGGCTTCTTTTTACTCCTTTCATACCATTTGTCACATAGAACATTTTCAAAGAAAATCACATCTCAAAGGCTACATACAACACATCTATCTCAAAGGCTGCATTATCAAGGCTAAGGGACCAGCCTACAACTATTTTAAAATTCTTTTTAAGCACCTAAAAGTGTTGCAGAATCCTCCAGAGCCTATCGAAAACATTTCCTTGTTTATAAAGTCATAAGAGTTGCATTTAATGGCATGCTACAAAGAAGCAAAATAAAAGAGTCATTTTGTATTCTTTGCTGAGAGAAGAAAGCTACCACATGTAGTTTTACAATACCTGGTCTCACATAGCTGCCAAGGCCACATCAATGATACAGTTCAGGCTTCTACTATTTAATTGACTACTTGGCTTTCCTCTACAAGTCAGTCACTTAAGCCATCCTCTATTATGTGGGCAACTGACATTTAACTTCGCTTCTAGCTTCTAGCTCTCAACCTCACTATTCAGTTAAGAGGCTTTCTGATGAAATTAGGGCAAATAAGGTTTCCATGATACTGGCGTGGGCTGGTCCCTAAGAATAAGGATGCCAAAAATCAGATTCAAATACAGCTTCCAGTGTGACAAGAAGACATTCACAGCCAGTCTAGTCTGTTGCCTTAGTCACAGATCCTCCTAAAAGGAGGGGGAAACCACAGCAGGTTCCCACACTTGCCACCATGAGTCTCGGCTTCTAAAACACCATCTACAGACCTTGAGATTCAACAAAAAAATTCAAAATATTAAAAACTAGAAATAAAACCTGTATAAGAGTTTGGATATAAGAAGGGTTGGCACTGAATTTCTTGTAGTTCAAGCTATCATGGCTATTAACCAAAAAGTCAGTGGTTCAAATCCATCGGAGGCTAGGTGCTGTGTGGGAGAAAGATGTGGCAGTGTGTTTCTGTGAAGATTTACAGACTCAGAAACTCTATGGGGGCGGATCGTCCATGTTACAGGATCAAAATGAGTCAGAACCTTCTCATAATGCAGTGGCTATCCAGTTGTTAGAGTTTGATCACCACCTAGAAAACGATTCTCACCTGAAGTGGAGTACATTCTATTTCACCATTCAGATCACCCTGGTCAAACACCTGCTATCCACTTACCACCGTGTGGCTGCAACATGAAGAAGCGATGGCACCGCCTGTGTGGAATTCACTGAGTAGTGGAGGAGATAGCTTGCAAATAGAAAAATTAGTGTGGGGCTCAGTAGATATTGTTGTTGATCTATCAATAGTAAACACAAAGGATAAAATAACTAAGATGCTAGAGAAGCTGGAAAAGGTGTAGAGATAACAGAAGGGGCGATAAGTAACTATTTAAAGACACAGTTGGATCTTGGAAAAATATGTGGCAGAAAAGAAGGATATTCCAGTCATAGAACATTCAATAAGCACCAGCAAAGAGACTAGGAATGCAGATTAAAAACCCAATACAACGGGACCTCCTCGGATCCACAATCAACAACCATGGAAGTAGCAGTCAAGAAATCCAAAGATGCAATGCATTTAGAAAATCTGCCATCAAGGACTTCTTTACAATTCTGAAGAGTAAAGATGTCATTTAAGGTGTAGATGAGCCAAGCTATGGGTCACTTTATTTGCAATTATTTCTTATGCACGTGAAAGTTGGATAATGTATAAAGGCAACTGAACTGTAGTATTACCCAGGAATACTGAATAGACTATGGTCTGTCTAAAGAAGAAACAAATCTTGCCTTAGAGGAAGTGCAACAGGATACTCATCAGAGGAACACACACTTTGGGCATATGGTCAGGAGGCCCCAGACCTTGGAAAAAGAAGGCATCATGCTTAGAAAAGCAGAAGACTTTCAAGACTCTCAAGAGAGAGGAAGACTCTCAAGGAGAGGCATTAACACAGTGACTGCAACCAAGGGCTTGAACACAGAACAAATTGTGACAGTGGCACGGGACAGGGCAAGGTTTCAATCTGTCATCCAAAGGGTCACTATGAGTCATCACTGACACGATGTCATCTAATAACAACAACGAAACAATACCAGGGTGGACTCTGTAGCTGACATGGCCTCTCCACAGCCTCATAGTGAAAAGGCTCTGGTCATCTCACTCCTCACCAGCCAATAGTAACTTGAATTTCATCTGTACTTCTTTCAATAATGAAGGACCTTCAGAGAGCTATTTCTTGTGATTGGCGTTGGTGCCATCTCGTCAATTCTGACTTACAGAAACCTCATATGATATGGTAGAACTGACTTGTCAGGTTTTCTAAGCTGTAACCTAGGGTTCTCTGGTGGCTTAATGGTAAAGAATTGCAAACACAAAGACACGAGGCTCGAATCCATTAGCAACTCCATAGAAGGAAGGTGGGCACTCTCCTTCCATGCGATTTACTGCCTGTGAAAACCCACTGGTGGGTCATCTATGGGTTGGTTCCAGCTCAACAGTACACAACAACAACAACCATCTTTACAAAGGCAAATTATCCATAACTGCCACCCAAGCAGATACATGCACACCCGTGTTTATCGCGGCTTTGTTTACAATAGCAAAGAGTTGTAAACAACTCAAGTGCCCATCAACAAACGAATGGATAGAGAAGCTGTGGTATATTCACACAATGGAATACTACATTGCATTGAAAAACAAGGAACTCATGCAATATTATTCAAAATGGGTGACCCTGGAGGACATTATGCTAAGTGAAGTATCTCAGTCACAAAAGGACAACTACTGCATGGTGCCACTGTTGTGAAGTGGTACTGACATCAGGGTTGGGGGGAGACTGAGAAAAGAGGGGATAAATAATATATACTGCATTGAAACAGATGAGGGAGAGAACTGTTTAAAAGGGATATGTGATTAAGTATCATTGTCATGACAAGAGGCCAGAACGAAGGCTGCATAGTGGAGTGGCCTGAGGGGGAGGGATTGTATAAAAATGAAAGAATTTTTCTTTTACTTTTAAAGAGAAGAGTGAAATGGGGCAGGGGGAGTGGGCAGGGAGAAAAGTGCAACTGTGAATGAATGGAAATGCAAAGTCTCTGTAAACATTCATTAAAATTAATAAAAAAAAAGAAAAAACAAAAAAACCCAAAGGAAGATTATCAGATTGTCTCACCATAGAGCAACGAGGTGAACCTGAACTGCCAATCTTGCACATGAGTTTTAGCCCTGTGCCAGGAGAGTTCTGAGTTCTTAGTCGTGATTACTCATCAGTAAAGCACGATCAAAGCAACACTCCACTGATCTTGAAGCTTGTCTTTGTGGTCTGGCTAACAAACAGGAGGAGAAGTACAAGGACACACTCATGGAGTTAGGAAGGGGGGTGTGTTCACATCCCTCTGGGGAACAGGAGTAGAGGAGACTGGAGAAGGATTCACAAGACTCTTCTCTTCTGTGCTAGGATATCTGCATTTTATCCTTTAAATAATGAGGCATACATAGGATTCCAGTCAGGAAACTTTCTGAGTAATAAAAGTTTAGCAGAATATAGAAAATACATAAAGTAAAGCTGAATCCAGTGGCTGGGAGATTACTTAGAATACTAATAGCACACTACATATGAACCTGGTAATGCTCAAATAAAAGTCCTCCAACAGACAAAGCAGAAGAGGAAGAAAAGAAGAATGTGAGAGACCTTTCTTACTGTAAATCAACAGGATTTGGTAAATAATTAGATAACTAAGGTGACAGGGAATGCACTATAGTTTAAAAATTGAGTAGCTGGTAGATTGTGCTACCAAATTAAAAATGATGGGATGAAAAGTGGGTTTTAGAAATGTGGGACAATAAGGAAGCCAGAGCAAGGTGGAATGCATAATGCACAGAACAAAAAAAAACATTAAATGAGTACTGAGGAGCGAGAGAGAAGCGAGGTATCTCCCAACGAGGCAGGTGATGACACGGATGGCATGTTCTCCTAGATTAATTCTTTACTTGATATTTCTGAACTGGTTACTCATTTCCTTGCTTCTCTTTCATTTTCTTTCTCCTGGAAACCATCAACCTCCATGGCTTCAACTATCACTTTTAAGAAGCAGTTGTTGTCAGGTGCCATCCTAACTTAGTCAACTATGACACGTAGAGACTCTATGGAAAACAGATCAAAACCTTGCCGGATCCTGTGCCGTAATTGTTCTCAAATTTCTCTCCCCTGTCCTGACTGAACCTTACAGTGGTTCATTATACAGGACTGAATTAGGAAGACAATTCACAGGTAGCATTATTCATGGAGTTGTCGTTGTTATGCACCACTGAGTCAGAACCAACTCATGCCTGGCCCTCCAGAGGGTTTTCAGAGGCTCTAAGTCACATGAAAAGAGACTACCTTTTTTTATCCTTTGGAGCTACTGGTGGATTCGAACTACAAGTCTTTGGATTGGCAGCAAAACTTCTACCCACTAGGCCACCAGAGTTCTATTTTTCTAGGGTAAGAATGAATCTCCAGGAGAGCTCACTAGAGTGAGAAATTGTTAGTGATGACAGTTCTGAAGCCTTGAAAGTACTATTCAAAAGGTGCCTTTGTTAGAGTTCACACCCACTTCCTCACTGGCCTTCACCTCATGCTGTCAACACTGGGATTATCAAAGGCAACAATTAATCAAGGATGACTACAGTATGCTATCTTTGTAGCATGCAAGGAAACAAGGAGAATGTTGTCAGGACTGTTTGTATATGTCTAAATTGTGTAGAGTCCTCAGAGGGCTTAGCTGATAACCAGAAATGTCATAGTTTGAGTCTACCAGTAGGTACATTGGAAGAAAGGTCTGGCTCTCCACTGTAGCAGTTCACTGAGCACAGTTCTACCCAGACAGACATGGCATGAACACAAGTCAAAGTCAACGAACACATGTTAAATTGTGTCTGCTTCCCTGAGAGAAAGGATTGTGACAGGATTCCATTTCTAATGAAATATTTTCCATAAATCTCTTCAAAGAAAGGTGATACATCTGAAGGTTTGTGATCAAATGCCCAATAGAGATAGACAAGTGGAAAAAATAAGTAAATATATTGAAATGGAAATTTTTTTTTAAGTTTTAATCATTCAAAAATATTTCCAAGCCATTGATACATATTTCCTCCTAACTTCAAATCTATAAATAGAAGTAGAAGAAAGTGGGGTATCAGAGAGACAAAGTGACTTTAGATTTCAAAGAAGAAAATTAAGGCTGTGATCAGTTCATAAAAAACACAAAAACTAGGTAGAATTTTTATTTTTAAATTCTGACACCTACATAGAATTTAAAAAATTTTCTATGCTGCTGAGATGAGCACTATTTCTGAGATGTAACTAGGAATTAATAGAGAAAATAAGAACAAAAAATAGTTTTGTGTTACTATTAAAAAGACTTTTCCTACTTTTTCAAATATTAAGGAGTTTGTTTTAAACACAATCAACCATCTGCACTTTTAAAACTATGGTGTCAATTTATTTTTGTTTTTCTACTGTTCTGCTGCTTTGAAAGGTAAATATATAGGTATATATATCCTCCCTTCATTCTTCTATCGCACTGAAGGCTGTTATTTCAAGGCCATGATACCCAGAGCTGAGTCTGCCTAGACAAGAGTGAAGGCAGAAAGCCACGCAGAGCAACCACACCACTTACCAGGGATTCGCTTGCACACTGAAACACGTAGCAAATATATTGGCTCAGCACAGGCTCTGGGGATTCCCGGCAGATAAATCCAAAATGATCCACATGCTTTATGCCCTGGAGGAGGGAAATAATTACAACATTTATTAGAATGTGTACCTGTAATAAAAATTTAAAAAAAACAAACAAACATAAAATCAGCATCAGTTTCATGCTTTCACAGATCAATAAATTTCTCCCTCACAGCATGGTGCCAGGGAGCTGAGGAACTCAATGTCACAGCAAGTTCACAGGTGGCTCTTGAACTCATCACATAAAGAATAAGATTGGCTCAGATTGGTTTTGTTTCTGACAATACCCTGTGATTTAAGGCCACCTGGGAGTGTGTGTGGGGTGGGGGGTGGGGGCAGGGGGTGGAATTGATGACATGATCGGCTGGATCTTGTAATAAAGTCTCTTGAAGTCCATGGGGGGAAAAAAAAGCAGTTCTCAATTTATTGGTTTCTCAGAAGAGGCAGCCTGATAATTCATCATAAACCTATTTTGTCTACATGAACCTAGACATCTGAGACAAACTACCCCTGACAACGTTCTAATTAAATAGCACAAAACTCCCTGAAATCATGCATAAAAAAATACTAGAGCATTTGTCTATTCACAGAGCCACACCTATCAGAAGATTAACAGATTTTAAAATGGTAAAGATGATTACAGGTATTGACAAATCATTCTTTAATAAGCTTAGTAACACTTTAAAAAAATACAATCCTGAATCACGAGTAGATCTTCTATTAGCCTGAATACACATCAACTAGCAGGAAACACCTTACTGTTTTCCATGTGTGGGTCTTGGAGTCAGAACTGGTTTGTTTCTGACCCTCCAGCAGGTTTTCAAAGGTGTGACTAGCAACAGAGAAGATGGTCCATCTTTCTCCTTCAGGGGAGCTGCTGGATTTGAACTGCCTGACTCTGATTTGTCAGTACAACTCCTAAGTCCTTGGCCACTAGAGCTCCCTTTACTGTTTTGACAGTAAGCACCAAATCTCATCAGCATCAGATCAAGTTAGAATCAAGTCAACAGCTATGGCTTCACTGCTTGCTATTAAAATAGTACAGGACAGAGTAGAAACACCCTATAGGAGTTCCGAGGGGGTCCGTCTTTTTTTTAATTATTATTATTTTTATTTTTGTTATTATTATTAATTTTAATGAAAATTGGCAGAGATTTTGGATTTCCATTCATTTACAGTTGCACTTTTTTCCCTGACCACCCCTCCCCTCCAGTTCATTCTTCTCTTTGAAAAGTAAAATTCTTTCATTGTTATACAATCCTTCCCCCCCAAGTCCACTCCACTATGCAGCCTTCATTCTGGACTCACGGTCCATTTTTAAGGGAGCTGACTCCCACATGTCACTCCTGCTGAGAAGGTAACTGATTTACAACACCAACCTTTCAATTAGTAGCCAAGTACTTTAACCAGTGACTCACTAAGGCCCCTATGGAGCAAACCCAGCACGCTGAAAAGTGAAGCAGATATACAAAATTAACTTATTAACTTGTCCTGAAATGGCCTGCATCCCGGGGGGGGCGGGTTGGAATCAGACGGATCTATGCTTAAATATTAGTTCAATCAATCTACCAAGTGTGAGATATTGTGCAGAGGTGTTAACATCAACTATTTTCTGACGAGCCTCTATTTCTCATCGTGGAATAAGAGGAATGACACCAGTGTCAGGAATTTTTGAGATTCTGAACTGAGAAATATCTAACAGTTGCTGACATATTTGATAAATGCAAGTACTCTCCTTGTTACAAACAGCTCAATCTAGCTGATGGATATAAATTCAAAATTCACTGCTGTTAAGATGGAACTGACTCACAGCGAACCCTTCAGGGATTTTTTCCCCCCCACAGAGGCTGGAAATCTGAAAACGGAGAAGGACACTGCCCATCTGTAGGTTCTAATCACCAGAGAGGTGTAGTGTGTGAGTCAGCGGCACACTTCTCTGAGGACTGAACCACCAGAACTAGCTGCACTGATGGACATCGGAAAGGGGACTAACCTACAGTAAGAAGAAAGAGCATGACTATGGGGAGAAGTGAAGTTAGGACTTAGGAAAGGAAAGGAATGGGACAACTCCTTAGTGATTCAAGAACTTTCTTCTTCACAGCTTATAAACAAAAGGGGGGTTGCAGAATCACAGGATCTCATTAGCTGAGCAACTCTTTAGATAGTTGTGATGTTATTATTTAATATTTTCACAAGTCCTCCTGCTTGCCGGAATGGTCTTACAGATATTAAAGAAAGAAAAGCACTGAGATGGAGAAATGAATGCTCAGGAATACACCAGCGTGTGAGGTGCGCTTATGTGTAAAATTCCTGGTCCTGCACATGCAACTCACCCACTGCCTTCCAGCAGATTCTGATTCGTGCAGACACTCCATGGGGTTTCTGAGGCTGCAAGGCTTCATGGGAGGACATTAGCAACCTTTCTCCCTCTGAGCACCTAGCAGATTGCAACTGCTGGCCTTTTGGTTAACAGTCCAACACTGTTATGCACTAAACTACTGGGGTTTCTTATTTCTGAATGCAGCCTTGTCATATTAGTTCAGGAGTTCTGGTGACCTTCTGTTTTAAGAAACTGTGCTGCAATCGCAAAGGCATGCTGTTCAAATCCACCAGCTGCTCTGCAGGAGAAGGATGGGCAATCCCTTTCTGTGCGATTAACTGCCTATACAAACTCACTGGAGGGTCAGCTGTGGATTGGTTTCAACCAACAGTTCACAACAACAATGAGACTATGATAAAACAAAGGGTTGAAAGAAATAATATTCAGTGAAAAACAGATGATGAATCTGACAATGCCAATGATGAAAGGCTTTCAACAAATTTCCTCAAGCCTTTAACTTTTTCTTTTCTGCACCACCAAAATATCATAATTCAAAGATACACTTGAAAAAGCAAAAACCATCAAAATAAAAATAATGTGTGAGCTGCCTGTTTCATAAATTTTAGTTCTTTCTTTAAAGCATCCTAGTAATGCAGAGACCAAGCGTTCAGCGGCTAAGTGAAAGGTTGGTGGTTTGAAGCCACAGTCCCTCTGCAGAAGGAGGTTTGGGGTCGGGGGAGGCAGCCTGCTTCTGCGCGGCTAGGGAACTGTGAGAGATTTGGTCCTACTCTGTCATACAGGATTGAAACAAACTCAGTGGCCGTGGATTTGGGTTTGGTTTTTTGTTCTTTTCTCTTAGATTTTGTTTTGTTTGTCTGCTTATTCATTTTCACATGTTCTACCCACACTGTTCATTTACTTTCTGTTGTTGTTGCTATCCACCATCAAGTTGGAAATGACTCATAACTGACCCTCTAGTGGGTTTTTAGAGGCAGTAACTCATACAAGATGGTTCGTCTTTCTCCTGTGAAGCTGCTGGTCAATTCCAAAGCCCAGGGAGACACAGTCTTGGGGTGAGTAAAGGCTATGGTCTCCCTGTGGACTATGATACCAGTTCTAGGGATACAGAAATTATACATTTGTGCACTACTCTCTGCCTCATCCTCTACTCAGAGTCCAACAAGTAGAAGCTGCTTACTTGCTCATCACGTATTTAACACCTAACTCAATGATAAGCTCCTTTTTAAAAATTTTTTTTAATATACACACAACCGTTAATATACACACATCCAAGTCATGGGGACTCTCCACTGGGTTTCCGTGGTTATAAAATATTTTTAATTGTGATTTCCATGAAAGTGTACAAAGCTAATTGGTTTTCCATCCAATCATTCATATACACTTGTCTTTTGACATCAGTTACAATAGCCACAATGTAAATGCATCTTTCTGTTTCCTCCCTGTGGTTCTCATTTTCATATCCAACTTTTTCTACCTTTTGGATCTGTTTATTTAGTTTTTTTAACAACATCTTGAGTTTGGGGTTGTTGTCATTATTTCCACTTCTTTTTAAAAAAAGTTTAGTAAGGGTTCACAAAGAGATTTATTTTCATTTATTCATTCTTTCATGCATAATAAACTCCCTCCCCCAATTCCCTTTGTAAGTTCTGTCTTGTTCTAGGCTACTAATTGTCATATACACAATTTCTAACCAGCCATTCCTTTCAGATTTTGACCCATGCCAAGGCATTATTCATTATATATCCATTGTTTTCCTACTTTCTGCCTCCCTATTTTGATATTATTACAACAGTGAGCCTATGCCTTATTTGTCCTTTTAAGACTGAGATAGTTCACTCAGCAAAATGTCTTCCAGACTCAACCATGTTGTGTAACAGCTTATGGATTATTTTTCACTGCTGTATAATATTCCATTGTATGAATGTAGCACATATTTTATCCATTAGCTTATTGATGGGTACTTGGGTAATTTCCATTTCTTTGCTGTTTGCTGCAATAAACATAATTGTGTATAATATCTATTCATGTTGAAGCTCTGATTACTTTGGGGTATATTCCCAGCAGTGGGATAGTTGGGTCAAATTGTGTTTCTATTTTCAGTTTTTTGAGCAAACACCAAACTGTCTTCTATAGTTGATGCACCATTTCATATTCCCACCACAGTGTATCAGCAGTTCCAATCTTTCCACATCCTCAGCCGCCATTTGTTTGCTATCCTATTAAACTTTGCTATTTGTGCTGGGGTAAGATGATAACGCATTGCTGTTTTGATTTTCAGCTCTCTAGTAGTTAGTGATTGTCTTAAGCTCTTTCTTAACCCAATTGATTCTGATGCCTTACAGAATACATGGCCACATTGTCTCTGCCCTCACAGAATTCACTGTCTCTCAGGATTAACAGTAAATAGGCAGTTACAAGAATGCTTAATCATTAAAGCAAATGATTTTTCTACCAAATGTCTTTTCCTTTAAGAAGAGGTCTCTTATCCTTTAGGAAACAGCAATACAACCAGCTGTATTCATATTCTGCCCCTGCCTCTACAGTTAGCAGAGCAGATGGAATGATTTCATGTCTCCATATAATATTTAAAACTTGCACTCCAACCCACCAGCTGCTCCGTGGGACAAAGATGTTCTCCTCTGCTTCAACTTACAGTTTTGGAAAGCCTGCAGGAGGGCCAGCTCGGAGTTGGGGTCAAATTGATGGCAACGAGTGAATAAGATAAAATGTTGTCATTGCATTACCGAAGGCTCAGGGGAAAAATTAAAATGTACAAAACCTCTAGGTTCTTTCCATTGGGCAGATGCCCCAACATCACACTGGCTGCAATGCTAACTCCAAAAATCCAATACAACAAAAACAATCGGCAGTTACGGACTTTACACTTAAGCACATGAAGGGAACTTGACAAAAGTTACTTCCTTCAGGGAAACTTAGTCACTGCTTGGAATGAAGCCAGTCTGTCTCTGTTTCATGGACATCCCCAAAGTTTTGTGGTGTGTTTTTTTTTTTTTCCAATCTTCCCACATTTACATCCTCCCTCTGTTCTACTTTCTCTAAAACATTTTTTTCCTCAATTTAGGACATATCTTGAGAGCACTAACTTGTGTATAAATTGAATAAATAATTACTACTGTTCTTGGGATACTCACTGCTGCCAGGTAGGAATCCATGCGTAGCTGACCTCCACCAATGTCACCTGAGGTTGGAAACTAAAAAGGAGACCGCCTGTCTTTCTCCCTCCGAGTCACGGGTAGATTTGAACCACCAGAGGATGTAGCCTTCTGTTAGTATTGCTACTCCCTACGGACTACGCCACCAGAGCACCTCCATAGGACCCACTCTTACCGTTCAGTCACAATTGCGCTCCCCCTCCAATGGGATTGTGAAGCTTTAAATCACATAGGAGGCGCTCAGCCATCTTTCTCCCGTGGAGCCACTGGTGGAGGTGAACTGCCTGAGAGGCACCTTCGGGTTAGCAGAGTACCTACTTACGGACTATGCCACCAACGCTTCCTAGTTTATGCCCAATAATGTAATCTTATACATTTTTAGCAATGTTATTGTTACTGTGAATTGTAGGGTTGGAACTGGCTGATAGCCAACCCTCCAGCAGGTTTTCAGAGGCAGTAAATTAGAGTCAGAAAATCAAAAGACAAATTGCTTTGGGAAAATCTACTGTCACAGACCTCTCCAGAGTGCTGAAGAGCAACAACATCCATCTAGGTACAAAGGTGCATCTAATCCATGATCATGGTCATCTAAATTACTCGTGATGCTTCAGGGAGTTAGACAATGACTAAGGATGACAGAAGAATAGATGCCTTCAAGTTGTGGTGCTGGAGAAGAGTCGTGAACATACCATGGTCTGCCAAGAAAACAAATAGGTCTGTCTTGGAAAGGATGAAACCAGGTCTCTCCTTGGAGGCTAGGATTTTGAAGCTCTGCTTCACTTACTTTGGGCGCGTGGCCAGGAGAGATTGGTCCTTGGAGAAGGACATCATGCTCAGAAGGGTGGATGGACAACGCAGGAGAGGGAGACTCCAGATGAGATGGATTGCTACAGTAACTGGGGCGATAGGGGTTGGTGTGTCGGAGTTAGCGAGATTGGCTCAGTACAGGGAAGGGTTTAGAGCTGCTGTACATAGGGTTGTTGTACATCACAGGTGACTCAATGGCACATAACAACAATAACATACTATGACAAGTTTGGAAGCAGGTGTGGCACCCAATTCAGAAACTCTATGAACTTTGATAAATGTCAATAATTGTAGAGGGGCTTCAGGCCTTTTGTTCATGGAGTTGCTATGAGTTGCGTTCAACTAGAAGGCAATCAACAACAACAATAGCAAATCACATAGGAGGAGAATGCCCATTCTTCTCCCACAGACCAGCCAGTGGATTCATAATATGCGTCTTTGGGATTGCAGTGCAGTCCTAACCACTAGGCAACCAGAGCTCCTTCTATTTAGCTAAATCTGTTATTTAAAAAAATAAATAAATAAAATCAAATACACTGTCATAAATTAAATTATAGAAGAACAAAAATATACCAAAAAAAGGCAAGCTGCAAGAGATTTCTTTTAAGTGGTAACATTTATAAAGTATAAATTGAAAAGACTAATTCTCCTTTTACAACCTATGATGGTATAATGAACAAACCAGACTGGGCTGTACCCGGAAGTCTCACTGCCAGAGGGAAACCCTGAGAAGCACCCAGTCTGATGGAATGCTGAAAAGAACTTATTACCATGAAGATGCCACCAATTCCACAAATCAGACCAAATAGTGTTACAGAAAGAAAGAGCTGCTCATATCCTGCGCCCATTTTTTAATTGGATTTTTGTTGTTGTTGTTGTTATGTGCCGTCGAGTCGTTTGCGACTCATAGCGACCCTATGTACAACAGCCCTAAACCCTGCTCCATCCTGTGCCAATC